ATATATAATTATATATTTATATATTTATTTATTTTTATTTATCTATTATATTTACTACATATCCACCTCACGATTCGTACTGATATGGCACTACAAGTTTTTGTCTTTCTAAATCATCCAAGGAGACGTAAGTTTGATGCTTACTTTGTGTTTATTTCTCTCTCTCACACACTCTTTCTCTCTCTCTCTTTCTTCCTCTCTCTTTTTCTCTCTTTCTCTTGATCTCTCTTTGTATGCTTCTATTAAATGGTCATTGATTGAAATTGTTTTAAAATCGTGTACGAATTTTCAGAAACATGTGCCAAGGAATTTTCGTGAACATACAAGAATCGTAAAGTGGACAACATCAATTTGATTCCCTACATGAGATTCACGAATTTAATCATTCACTCAGATCGTATATCTACGCTTTGCGCGGGATTCGCTCTCTTTCTAAATAATCGCTTTCATTAAATATTATTATTATTAATGTTTTTTTTTTACCTCCCCTTCTTTCTCTCACTCTTTCTCCTTTTCTTTCTTTACGTTAGCGATAATAATCCACTTTAAGTCTTTAGCTAGACATCTTTTCTAAGATACACGCAACAAAGAATTAATTCAAGGTAGAGGAGAAAGGGATGATTTAGGAGATGTAATATTGACGAGCTGGTAACTCCATTTTGGTTTCATTTCTTGCTCACATTTGACACATTGTGTACACATTTACGTACGAATAATTAAGTGATTCGTTCGCATTATTGCCAGAACGAAAAGTGAATCCTTTTCCTTTTTTTGGGGGATGTCTTTGTATATAATATCCATATATTTTTTCTTTTCTCTTTTTTTACTTTTACCTGTTTTCTTTTTTTTTATACTTTTTTAAATATTTTTTTTTTTTTAAATATTGTTTTCCTATCAAGGTCTTTCTCGTACCCCACCGTCTACACATAATTCGTCGGTTGAAACGCAAATAGTACTATGAATTTTGTAAACAGATGGATTAAATCCTTCTTAATTTACACGTAACTCACAGATTTGTAAACGATCGAGATATACTCTTTTTCGAAATAATCGCGTCGTCTTGTTCGTTTTGTCTTTTTACTCTCTTTTTCAATTCACACATTTTGCAAACTTCTAGACACGATGATGATTCATTTTAAACATCGACGCCTTCTTTTTTCTTGCACCTTATATGAACAGCACTAGGAAAATTAAAAAAAGAAAATCACTTTTCGAACAGCACCGACGATTAATCACTGCACACATATTTTCCATTAAAAATTATACTATTATATTTATTTACAATGATGTTAGAGACGTAGTCTCAGTTGATTTTGATTACTTAATGTATATATTATATAGGATAGAGTTGGCGCGCTCGAGGCACAAGTAGCTTTCTCTCATTCCTCTCACATTTGAGCGGTTTCAGATTGGAAGAGAGTATTGCGAATAGATTAAAACAAATCAATAATATTCTTTTTCAAGTTTAGTAAGCACAAAACGATTTTAGAAAATTAAACGTATACATTCGAACGTATATATACGTACCAAATTACCGAATAGTGAAAGGAAATGATTGGAAATAATAGAGACAAAGACACAATATAGGATCGATAAATCCTTAACAAGGGAAGAATCTTTGTCTCTTTAGAACTGTAATACTACTAGTGTTACTATTACAATTACTACTACTAATTCAACTACCCCTACACAACTGCTACTACTGTACTACTACTAAAACTACTAATCTACTACTAACTACTAATATTACTATTACTACTACGAACACTATTAATACTACTACTAATCTACTACTATTACAATTACTACACTACCAACTACACTACACAACTACTACTACTACTACTACTTCTACTACTACTACTACTACTGCTGCTACTACACTACTACTACCACTACTACTACTACTACTACTACTACTATTACTACTACTTCTAATAATAATAATAATAATAATAATAATAAAAATAATAAAAAAAAAATAATTTATCCTTTCATACAACCCAATCATAGATTGCTTCACTTCCATTTCCCTCTTCGTGCTTTAACAATAATATAATCGTCATTGAACGTGGCAGTGACGATAACAACAAAAAATAGTATATAGAATAAATTTTAATAAAATTCGACTGTGGAAAAACAATTTTGTATCAATTAACAATTGTTAAAGTTAAATAAAGATGATCACAGTGGAAAAAGGAGCCGAATTATTCGCTGAATAAAATAATAATAATAATAAAAATAATAATAATAATAATAATAATAATAATAATAATAATAATAATAATAATAATAATAATAATAATAATAATAATAAAAATAATTATAATATAATAGGTGTTTTACGAAGTGACGTTGACGTTGAAGAAAAAGCTACGATATATTGCCTGATCCCATTCTCATGTCCAAGTTATATAATTGAACATAGTTACACCCTTCACAAGGACACATTGCAAGACACATCAAATCGCTATATACATGTTCTCACCTCGCACTGCAATTATTTCCAATCAGCCTATATTTTTACTTTCGTCCTTTTTAAAGTTAATAATAAATGAAGAGCAAGGAGGGCTTGCAAAGCAAATCGATAGCAAAGCTTGACAAAACGAAGGAGAATAGCTTGCAAATGACATTAAGAATGACTCTTTTACAGTTTGTTTTTAAGAGATGGCAAGTACGTTCGCGAGGAACAAGTTACACACTTTACTTTAAGAAGATAATCATTCCTACTACATTTTTGAGATTAAATCGCTGATTCTCTTTTTAACGCAATCCTGACGCAAGTTCGTTTTCATGCTATTTCTTTAAAATGTTTTCTTGCACGTTTGTAATATTTGTATGTGACATGTGCGCATTCGTATGGAATCGTATAGCATATAGTGTATGTTTTTACAAGTGTCAAGTATATGCGTTTGTTTGGTGTGCCTGCAAACGATACACGGAAATTATCGGTACACTTTATACACGCACAGCATACAATAATAATCTTAGGATTACAGGAGACATGCCTTTTTCCTTTCCTCCCTTACTCGGTTTGCTTCTTCGGAGCAAACGAATATATATTATACGTATATATTGTATACATATATTTATATTATCTTTTTTAGATATCTCATACGAATCCGTGATCTTTGTATTTACAAATAAAAATTGCTTGCACCACGGTAAACATACTCACATATTCACATAATCATTTCACTGTACGTATACGACAGTAATAGAAGAAAAGAACAAAAATTGTGCGATCTGCGTATATATAATATACATTTGTATTATTAGTCTTGGGACCACATACATAAATCGGCTACTAATTCGGTATTTGTCGGATTCGCTTACGTACACGCACACGCAACCATAATTACATTTAATAAATGTTTTTTTTTCTTTTTTTTTCTTTTCTTTTCTTATTAGCTTTTAAAGCAATATCAAGTATCTTTTTGTGTTATAGCGTTGCGGTCGGGTAGCCCGGACGATTGATTAACGTGCAACTACACACTCTTCGTAGTTCTTCCGTTTTCTCTCTTTTTCTTTTCCTTTTATTTTTCTCTCTAACATACGTACTAATTTTCTATCAATGATTACATTTAACAATAGAGAGATAGAGATAGAGAGAGAGAGAGAGAGAAAGAGAGAGAGAGAGGTGTATGTATTTAATGTCTCTTCTCGTACGATCGCAAGTTTGTTAGACGATACATGCTTCTTTCTTCTTTTTCTTTGAAAAACATTTAAGAGAGCGAGAGAGAAAGAGAGAGAGAGAGTCCCGTCTTAATGAAAGACAAACTTATACACGTTCTTTTTCGCATTCGATTACTTTACGCAGACGTTACTTAGCCTCTTATTTAAAAAAACAGAGAGAGAGAGAGAGAGAGAGAGAGAAGATTTTTCTTCAAACTCTATAAACAATTAACTATGTAATAGTGTCGTGACAATGCTACTAACAAAGCATACGTAAAATACAGATTTGTTTGTTTAGATATGATGGAAGTTCATGGAGAATATGTACTTTTTTAAAACAAACTCTTCTCTCTTATTCTCTTCAATAAAGCACTCGCGTACTCTCTTGCACTTTTTTATCGTCATCCACCTTAACGAATATAATAAAAATAATCTTTCACTTCGCCTTAATAAACGCCCAGAGCACGTAAAGAATAAAAATAATGTTTCGCAGAGATATAAATAAAAGTACGGACTATGAGTTGTGTTTCTTAATGTATTTAGTATGATAGGTACACATACATGTATGAGCGCACCCATCAATATCGATACACAAAAATACATTTAATGCAGATGTATGTATATATGTATGTGGGCAAGTATACATGTACAGGGTATCCGTTTAAACGTTTTTATCATTAATCGACAAATTCTATTTTGTACTACGAACTACGTCAGTTCGACAGTAGAATTTATCTTCCTTTCCTTTCCTTTCCTTTCCCTTCCTTTTTTTATTTCTTTCTCTTCTCTATTCTTTTAATCGCGAGTCTAAAAAAAATCTTGGAAAATTTCAATAAGAAATTTAACAAATACTTTGACGAATCTCTTACACTATGCTCAAGAAGTTTATACTTTTGTTATTTCCACTTTACTGCATAATGAAGAACTACAGTTAATAGATTAAAAAAAATATTCGATATAGTCATAGTGATTTTGCGCTGAAAAGAAGAATGTTCTACAACACTCGAAGAGATTATAAATGAATCAACTGTTATTATATAAAAGAAATTTTTTCTATTAATACGAGAGATAAAGTTTGGTTTGTAAAGTAAAATATAGAATACAGACTACTATCGCGTTGTGTCTGAAAATTACAAAGAAACGTTAAAAAAAAAAAAAAAAGAAGAAAAGCACTTGGAGGACTATTTCAATGTTTTCAGTGTCAGCCGTTTATCTTTATGCGTAAGAAATAAGAACGACACTTATAAACGTGTCAAGTCACTGCTTTATGTATGATGGTTTTCATATCGCTCATTACCTTTGTAATAACACAGAGACCCTTAGCTGTATGTAATTTTTCAACAACATATTTAAAAAAAAAAAAAAAACGTATGTAGTAAAAATCAAGGGGAAAAGTAGGCTCATTTCTTTCCATATACACAGGGTGTTCCAAATGTTAAAAAGAAAATCACGAATCTGGTCGCGTTTCATAAAAGTATACATGGCTCGAACTATTCTACCCTTTCAAAGTTAATAAATAGAAACAAGGCAAATAAACGCGTAAACGAAAAAAACTTATTTTGAAAAAGCTACGCCGGACGGTAACGAACATATTCTCTCTCGACAGTTAGATTTAAAACGAACATTTTTCCTATTTATTTTTCTCTCGCCATTAAATGTACTCTCATTCTAAATTCAGAATATGATACTAGTATAACAAGAAACTTAAAGACGGTGCAGTTTTTCTATTAATTCGAATACACGCATAATAGTTATATTAGTATCGTTATGCATCTAGATACACGTTATCAAACGATCCGACGGAAATTAGTAAAAAATGACATATAACGAGGAATCCTTGTATCGTAGGAAACATAGATAAAAAAGATGAATTCATGGACGGTCACCCTGTACATATTCGATACATAGTTTATACATATAATTAAAACACTCTTCGAAATACTGTAAAATTTCACAAAATACTTTTCTCGTAAAAAGGTGTGGATGAGACTCCTATGTGGGTTGGACCGATGCGATCAAAAGTCGAGATTCGGATGTAGAAAACGAATAGCCAGGGATATAGGGAGATTTCGATAGAATCTTAAGAAGCAACAACAACGACGAGTAAACGAAAAAACAAGAGTAAGAAGCAGAAGAAAGTTGAAACGGAGGTAAGATTTCGACGACGATTTTAGGGATTCGATTGATTTCCATTTCTATATTAAAAAAAGGATATATATCCTAGAGAATGAGGGAAGGAATAGGGGTGTAAGAGAAAAACGGCCAAAGTCTTAAGAAATGTTCTTACCATCTAAGCCGAGCCGCGACGTTTAAATAAAAAGAGTGTATTTTACGAAGAACATACGTTTTGCACAGGACGACGTATGCAGTTTGTAATAAACATTAATAATCTATGAGAGATATATATATATATATATATATATATGTATATATATGTATATATATGTATATATATCACGATCCTCGCTTATCTTCTCTTTGCTCTTATCAACGAATTGATGCGTAATATGAATAAAATTAACGAGGTAATAATTAGAATTGCACGAGTTCTCAGCGGCCGGTTGTAAGGGCGGCCGCTCAGCCATTCAGCACACTCTCCTCGAATCTAAAAAAGAAGAAAGAAGAAAGAAGAAAACAGAAAAAAAGGAAGAAAATTGGCCAAATGTGTGAAATAGAGTAGGTGTGTCAAGTATGTACACAAATAATATGCACAAATAATAGCAAAATTGGAAATGGAAAAGAGAGGAGGTGGTGGTGGTGGTAGACGTATTGTGTGTCAGGGCTTGTTGAACGATTTCGCAGGGAGAAAAATTTTTTCCTCCGTATTCCTTCGTTGGCATAGGAGATCCGTCATTTTTCCCCACGAATCGTAAAAATTCCATTTGTGGAAAAAAGTAGCGTAGTATAAGTCCCGTAGCGGAGAAAAAAATGTTTCTTACTCGACGAGAGGGTTTTATTCTTCCTTCTTCTCTCGACGTTGCGTGTGTATACTTAGTCGCGTGCGACGAGGTCGGGCGACGACGACGAGGTCGGACGATGACGAGGTCATTTTTTTACTCGTGCGTTTTACCGATACGGTTCGGGCTATATTATTTAGCGGCACGAGAATATATCCTTAACGATAGGAGACTTTGCGGCCACATCTCTCGTTTTTCTTCTCTCATATGGCTCGAAAAGGGCTCGAGAAGGGCTCGCGTAGTTGGTGCAGCGGTGCATAACGGTGAGACGAAAGCTCAACCGGACAACATGTCGGCAGGAATGAAGTCACAAGAGCTCGTATTGACGTAAGTGCATCCGCTGAATGATGTCCCGACAATCGTTGAACACTCTCTTGATATTTTCTGTGTCAACGGCGCAGGTGAAGTGTGGGTAGCAATAGTGTTTACCATCTCCGCTGGCTGTGCTTATACGCTACAAATAGTAACGTTTTATTGTTAGTTACGATAGTTGGATTAACATTAACGCGACCAGTTGTGATTAAAGTCACGAGACGTTTCGTTATAATAAGAGAGAACGAACGATGGTAAAGAATAATAATAATAGTAATCAAGTTATATAATAGTATATGTAGACGAGTAGAGTAAATGAGAGCCGTAAATCGGACCGGACCGGACAAATTTTAACCGTTCCGAACGGCTTCTCTCTTTCTCTTTCTCTCTCCCTCCCTCACTCTCTCTCTATCCTTTGGTACTTACGAGAAATTCATCTCTGATGAAGTACTTGGCCCTTAAGACGTCGGGAGGTTCCGAGGGATCTGTGACTACGCCAGGTTCGACCGGCGTCTGGTAACGAGAAAAGTCAGGAAAATAATCCTCCAATTTATGTTTTCCCGCTTTTATCTTCTCTGCCAATAGATCCTGTTTATTCAAAAATAAAATCACGGAAATTGTGCGGAGCCATCTGGAAAAAAAAGATTAAAGTGGAAAATAAGATATCAAGTTAAGAGACAAATTTTTGATTAACAATAAATTTCGAACACGGCAGATCGGTAGGAACTGCTGCCGCGGTATCTTACCGATTGTTCCAAATACTTTTGAAGAGATCGAGACTTTCCCGGAGCCTTAATTTCGTCGGGTCTTCCCTGAGTACCATATTATAACTACTACATGCTGTTACAAATATGATCGCCGTTACGTCATTGAAACATTGTATCCATTTTCTCCTTTCGTCGCGTTGTCCACCAACGTCGAACATGCTGTCAATAACGAGAGATAATTAATAATTACTTAACATATTTGTCCTCTCATAGTCGATTACTTATTTTAAGGATAATCGTTTCTTTTTTTTTTCTTTTTTCTTTTTTTATATTAACCAACACGACGATGACAATATTTTATACTCCTCGAAGGACGGTCTTGAGAGCGCTGAGATGAGAACAAAAATCGATTCTCTTGGAAGAATAACCCGTTTTCTTTAGTCACTTTTTGCGAGATTATACATACATACATACATACATACATACATACCTCCTAACAACGAACGCGCGAGCGATCGTGAAGGAGGCAACAAAACGGAGGAGAGAAAGGGACTGAAAATCTGGAACGTCGTAGATACAACTTGACACCGGCGAGTGAACGCAAAAAGGGAAAATATGATAAAGTTCCGAAGGCATTAGCGCGTGTAACGGATTTCGCTGTACGTTTAGCGTAACGTCGACATTGTATAAACGGCGCCGTTACTATGACGATGCCGACGCTGCTTTGCGTTATATTTACCGTGGCCCGATGTTACTGTAATACGTTGGCTATATATAGTCAGACAACACTGGAGTAAAGCAAAGAGGTATTGCGTGGAACTTACTGAAAGTTTACTTTGTCCACCTGAAACCGGGTTTCGAAGATACCGGACGTAAGAACTCGACACCTCAAGATATCCTAAAACAGCAAAAGAGAACGAACTACATTGCTCGGTATTTTTTCATATACATATATATGTTTGATTTTCAATTATATCGAAAATAAGAGAAAATGAAAAGAACACAGAGTTAGTAACCTGAACCAGACTATTAATAATTATGTAGGACAATTTTACAGAAGCATTCATCGAATGAAATTGTACCGTATTTTTTGTTTTTTAATTGAACTCTACAAATTGTATTCAATATCCACTTAGATTGTAATAACATCCTGCATAAATGATATGTTTAATTAACAGCGACATTGTATCCATAATTGAACAGAATTCTCATTCGCAATCAGTTATAAGCCATTGCAGTTTTTTACATTTTCTTTAAATCAACGATTCGTGTATAACAATCGCATCGAAATGGGTTTTACAAGTTAACGAGAAAATGGATATGCTTATCGTTTTAATAAGATATAAGCAAATGTGAATATAGTAAGGTAGCATAAGTCGGTATCGAAAAAATACGAAAATTCTGTTTAATTCCAAATACAATATCGTTGTTGGTAGACACATAGTCAGCAGCAAACAGTTATGCGATATGATCAAAAATTATTCTATTTAAAAAAAAAAAAAAAAAAAGAGTTCAATTGCATTCCTTTAGCAATCTTTGTCTATTTGTAAAAAAAAATAAAGTAATAGTTCGGCCCAGTTACTAAGAACACACTTTAAATGTATGTATATATATATATGTTACCTGTTCCGTTGGCGTGTAGTCCGGTTGTTTTACAATAGCTACTTTGTCTAGAAAACTGAAACAAAAGAGAAAACATTTTTAATGCTTTTGACGTTATTCATCAAATTAACATACTATACTAAACGCATGAAGAATTAGTCAAAATTGTCATCAATTGATTTATATTTCTTGAGTACATGAAAGATATTTTTAGTCATTGTTCGCTTTGGTATATCGTACGTAGCACTCGACCAAAATCCACGTTGAAGCGTTATTGATCCATACTGCTTTTCCGTAATGACAATCATCGGTAATCAACCACATCGTTATTCCGAGGCCACTTTCTACGTACGTATGCGGTCAAATGACAATGCGGATCTCTCTTTATGTTTCCTACCTAACAGACGAAGAAGAGTTGGTGGCCAAACTTTTTGCCCAAAAAAACACCGTAAATACAGAAAGTTATTTTTCTTTTTTTCGTTTTTTTTTTTTTTTTACTATCACTACACCTCCTCTTTACAATTATCGAGAAAACAAACACGCAAACGAAGTAAACGAAAAAGACAAAGTAATTACCCTCACCACCCCATAAAAAAAAACCGTGTGAAATAATTCGCGACTAAATGATAATCCGTTTAAACGAATGCCCATAAATCGAATTCAATTTGTCTTATTGACACGTTGAAAACGCCATGCGAATTCTTAAAGAAATCCCCCGTTAGATCACGCGCGTTACTTATTGTTAGTATTAAAAAAAAACGATTGGATGTCAAGCCACTGATAGCGGACGTGACGTTTCAACGTGTTTTAAATTTGTCTCGTTGATTAGAAAAATGAAAATGAACCGTTCGATCCTGCTAGATTCTACCCAACTAAAAACTATACATTCTAATACGAACGATGATATACAGAGAGAGAGAGAGAGAGAGAAAATACAGAATAATAAAGAAAAGGAAAAAAGAACTAATGAAAGGCATCATCGAACGAAGGTGTAGAATATACAGGAAAAGGGAATGGAAGGGGTGAGGGAAGGGGAAGTGGGTGGGGTAGAGGGGAGAGGGTGGTTCGTCGTCGATGTTGTTGTTGCAGGACGTATGGCAAAGAAGAAAGAAGAGAATAGTTAAAGAATGGAAAAATGGTTCGAAGGTAGTGGAATGGAAGATTGGAAAAGGGTGGAATATTAAGGGTGTTGAAGAAGATAGAGAAAGAGATAGAACGTGAGAGAAAGAGAGAGGTGTGTGTGTATGTGTGTGGCGCGCGCGCGCGTACGCTGTCTTTTCCCACCCTCGAGCCTTTGCGTCCCTACTCCCCTCCCTACCACCCCTCCCTACCACCCTTCCTTCCTATCTCCCGTACCACGAGCAGAGGGAGCGCACGAAGAGGGAAAATCGATCCTCGGCGGTGTCCTACCCTAACCCCAACCCTTGCCTCGTCGGCCTCGCCGGGTGTGCACATACGCCCCTCTGATATCCATTTTTCAATTCAGGTCATGGGTCACTGCCATCGGTGCCCGTCATCAATCGTACATACATACATACATACATACATACATACATACATACAGGACTTAGGCTGTATTTTCTAAGCTCTATATTCTATTCTATCCTCTTTCTTTCTATCTCTCTATCTCTGTTTCTCTCTCGCGTTAAAACATTAACACAAATGCTTCGTCGTTCTCGATGTTGTCAGTACAAAAAAGAAAGAAAAAAAAAAGATATTAAAGGTTTCCAACCGTTGTACGTTAATAAAGTTCGAAAAGATTGCAATTAATTCGTCAGGAAGTATATACTAATACAACTCTACGAGATGAATATAGTTTCTACCGTTTCTTCTTGTTTTTGTTAATAGCCATAGGGGAGAAAAATCATTTCTAATTTGTTACAAATATTTCTATTTCTATTTCTATTTCTATTTCTATTTCTTTTTCTTTTCCCACCACGTAAAGTATGCTTCTTTTTCATGAATAATATTTAACGATAGATCATCACTTTACTCGAGATAATTATGGAAGCCCACCTAAGGCGACCTTAATAGGTCGCTCGTTACGATGAAGGATATAAAGTCGGGTTGTTTAGAAAAAAGAAAAAGAAAAAGAAAAAAAAAAAAAAAATTATTGTTTGTAATTTCTTTCTTTCTTTCTTTCTATATATATCTAACTATCTATCTACTATTTATCTATCTCTATCTCACTTATTTCCCTTTTATATCTATGATGCAATTTTCCTCTCTTTCAAAGACTGCTCTAAGAGACAAAGAGGGAGGGGAGGTAAAGAGAGCTCTGTGATCCTCTTTATCGAAGGGGTTTCATTCTAAACGCTTTTCGGTATCTTTTGAAGCTTTGACGTTATTTGTACCGATCGAATAACTTTGAACACCATGTAGATGAGATACTATGTGTATGTACTACACATCATACAGGCATACGAAACAGGTATCTTTACCATGCTATATACACCATAGGAGAGGCTTCTTCTCTTCTAATCGGTCCATGGATACTTTACGTAGAAACACGAGCAACGAGCGAATCTCTCGTACATGATAATTCCATAAATATAGCATGAACTAAAGCGTCCTTTTATCGATATCAAAAATTTAGAACGTTGGATGATATTAATAACAGAACACCATTTACCGATCACGCGGCGCGTTCGTTTTATGCAAATTGAAAAAGTTTCGATTCTGAGACTTCAATTTAAAATGGAAAAAGAAAAAGAAAAAAAAGAAAATAATTTCTACCTATTTAATTTAATAATATAATACGAAGTATATTATATTATTAGTGTTCTCTAATAATCGTGTAATATTTTTTTCCTTACGAAAAGGGCATCGAAAAATTACAATTTGTTTTCTGTTTTTTTTTTTTATTATTATTAGTCAAGAAGACAATACTTCCACAATTCTATTTGTTGTTCGTTTTATTTAACTTGAAAGGATTAATACGTCAAACGAAATGAGAGAATAATTAGGTTCATGAATATAAATAATACCTTTGGTAACATTTTCTTTTCTAATTGATCTAACAGAAAAATTACACATCGGTATAACAAGCTTCTTCCATGAGACAGGATTGCAGGATAAGATAGGTCATGGAATTGACGTGTTGAGAGAGAGAGAGAAAGAGAGAGAAAGAGAAATAGGTCATCGACCTTTTAAGAATCGAAAGAGTAAGGAGGTCGAGGCTCGACACAATTGCGAAGCAAAGATTTTCTCGTTATCACGGATTATATTAGAGTAGCAAAGACCTTCTGATGTAAACTATAACATTGTTTTTTCCACCCATAGCGCATGTTCAAAAGTGCTTATCTACTATTAACGGCTTCTCTGTACTTGCGAGGAAGAAAGATGAGAAGAGAGAGAATAATAAAAAAAAAAAAAAAACAATAAACGCGGTTGTGTTATCATCGATTCGTAAAAAAAACAACCACAATTACTACTACTACTACTATTATTATAGTCGCATATAAGCTTTATAGATTCTTCTCTTTGGATTTTTTCTTTTCATCTTTGTTTCTTTGCAAAGCTACTAATTCAAATATAAAATTTCAAAGGAAAGTTCGAAAAACAGGGGGTGGTGTTTTCGATGTCGATTATTTCGGTGGAGAAATCCCCCACCTTCCACCCCCAATCCCCTCCCCAATTAAATATATAAATCATTACACGTAACGATCATCGAATGGTTAATGCACTTTTTCTTTTTTCCTTCTTCCATCCTCTTGACTTTAAAGTTACTTGAAAATAATATCGTGGGGGAGGGGGGAAGAAAAAAACAACACACGTGAAAAATATCATTACGCAGGAATAATTTCATGCAATAAATAAATATGATCGGGAGTCTAAAATCGTGTACTGTTCCTCCAACGAGGAACATTCCTCCGATATATCTGAAGCAGCGCTTCCTAAAAATACAATTCGCTATTTATAACGAAACCGTTCCTCGCGACATGAGAAGATAGAAACTGGAAAATAAGAATGCTGACACAATCGGACGAATTTTCTTTCTTTTTTTTTTTGTTTGTTACTTTCACATTTGAAGAATTTTCTTTTCGTAATATTTTAATGCAAGGAGTGCCACGGAGTGCAACTTCGTTTGGATGCGTTCGAAAGGAAATGAAGAATGCACGTTTAAGATAATTAATCATTTTAAAGAAAATGATAAGTTTTCGTATGCAAAATTTTACACAAATATATTCTGTATTCTTTAATTATTATACGAGTTTTACTTAGAAACAGCCAATCCGATTAAACCTATGTTTTAATATTTAAAATAATATTCGTTGTTTCAATTTTTCTTTCTATCTTTTTCAACAACCAAAAGGTAAAAGTCCTAAAGTTTTTTAAGATACTGTAGTTATCCTAATAAATATAATAATTACATTTTTATTTTTGCACATCCTTGTGCATACCTTGTTTCGTTGTCTAGGATCTACCCTTTAAAGAAAAAATAAAGATTATGTACTTATCTGATCAAATTAATATATCAACAATTGCAAAACATTAATTTTCTCAATTTTTGTTTCTCTGAACTTAATCCTACATTAGTTTCTGAACGATTCATACGTATGTATATATTTAATGTTTGCTTAAACCGTAAAATGAAATCATATGCGTCGACTTGTTAAATGGTATCAGTGTTCACTTACGCAAAAGATTTGTGCTTTTACTCGTTACTATGGTTGCATAAATATACGATGCAACAATATTTCTGTTGCAACATTAAAAAGACCAAAAACAAAAACGCACACACACCTAAACTACCCCATTTCTTATTAATTTGAAAACCCTTACTTATCAAACTCATGGTTAAGGTACGAATCTGGTAACGATGAATTTACCTTTGAAAAATATCGATGTTGATTGTGAGCAGGTTTGCTGAGAACCCTAGATAAGCCAGTGGCCTCTATTAAAGCGATTACCTCGTTAAAGCATTGTCTCTATTGGCATTAGATCGGTCTTTCAAACGGTCTCTTTCAATATACACGAACATAATCTCCTCTCTCTCTCTTTCTCTCTCTCTACGTAAGGTTCGTTCAAAAATTCTACATTTCTTTTGAAAGTAAAGACGAATTCGAGAGAGGAAGACGAAAAAAGAAACCATTACAAAATGATGTTACTACCTTAAAAATAGAATTCGTTTTAGTCGTTATTGATTCTTAAAAAAAAAAGAAAAAAAAAATACATAAACTACATTGTCACGTAAATTTACGATTTAGGATAAACCACAACCATTATTAGGCACACAACTCTTTCGCGATTATTCTTTCTTTCTTTCTTTCTTTTACGCGTAGCAATAACGCAAATATACGTTTGGTATATTTATTTCGTTATAGACTCGCGAATAATAGACTGTGCAAAACGGTACGAGTTATAAATAAATGTTCCCTAATAAAACACCGTATAAACACCTTAAAACACACATACACACACCTCACGTGAAATAATCGTATGAATCTAATGTTATTTTAAGAATAATCCGTATATGCCGAGTATATATATATATATATATATATATATATATATTATACGATGGGAATAATAACGATACGATCTCGTTAATTTTACTTGAGTTCACTTATCGAAACTTTACAAAACGTTTGAACGCGTTGAATCTCTATGCCGGAAGTTATTTCTGTTCTGTCAACAATTTTTCGTTACAGTTTAAATAATATTCTATAACGCGTTTTTTAATTTAAAACGCAAAACTTGACCGACCGTTTCATACTGTCCAACGTGGATTTTTGTTTTTTTTTTGCTTATTATGCTATTATACACTGCGATACCACCACCACTCACTACCACCTTCTTTGTAATCCATTCGTTCGACGCATATAGTTCAAAAGAATCTGTCGAAATATTTCATTTAACAAAAAAGGAAAAAGAATTTAGAAGGAAGGCAAGGAAGAAGGGAAAAACTGAGAGAAGCGGGTAGAAAGGGTGATGATAGGGGGGAGGGGGGGGGTTATATCTTACACAGTACTTTTATTATCAATTCGTGAACGTTATCGCGTTCGAGCTTCTTATCGTAATCGCGATATCACCATGTGGGGCAGATTACAAAAACTGTACCCCGAGCAAAGGATGATTCCAACGCTACCAAGATAAGGAATAATTTAGCCTTTTTTCTTTTTTCATCCTTCGTCAATCTTTTATTTAGGAAAAAGAAAGTGAGGGAAAAAAGGGACAGGGAAAATGGGAGAGAGTTGGAAAGAGAAAAAGAAAAAATAGGAATGGGTGGGATGAGGAGGTTACAAAGAGAGGGAACGTTGGTATACATCACGTTTTCCCTTTGAATAATTTTCACCGACTAATAGCAAACAGTCATATTAAACGTGACTCACTATTTGGCGCAGTCGATGAGTTGGTACTCGTTACTCCTCTCGAAACTTTGCTGAACGCCTCGATCATTCCACAGCGTTTCGACGATTTCGTAGAACTCCTGAAAATGTTAAAAAATGATATATCGTTAATGAAAGTATTCAAAACAGATCAAAATACTAAAAGTTATTATCCCCTTTTTTGTTTTTTTTTTTTTTCACCAATCCAAAGAGATCTCTGAGTCTACGTGGAAATTGGCGTAGGATTGTTGGTAAACGACATTTTCGTTGAACACAATTAAAATTAAATATATATGTATATATAGCCAACGAGGGATCAAAGAATTTGGAATAAAAATAATTTTATATTATCGCGATTTACGAGTTCTTCGAAACGGCACCCGTTAAATGTTCGAATTATTGTCGATACTTCTGCCTACTTTTTGTTGTTCTTTTTATAATTTTATAAATCATTCTGCTATACCTATATAGCAGGAAAATAAAAATAAATGTTTATTTGTTCGAATACTAAAATAATTCATATATATTTATTTTTTAATCGTATCCAATTAACGAAGGGAAGGACAAAAAAAAGGTATCATCTATCCCACCACTTCGAAGCTAACTGTTTTACAATTCTCTAAAGCTTATGTGTTGTTAATTAGATTTTCGAGAGATGAAAAATTTCGAATGAATTATCCTCTTGAATGTTAGAAGATGTTTTAAGGGGTGCGAGGAAAAGGACGTTGGCACGTCTTTTGAAAAAGGCTCGTTGCCAGTACCAAAGTAAGCCAAGATAACTTTCTTCGTAATTGGATAATGGCAAAAAGCAGATCCTATTATCGCCAAAAAACATAGAGCATCGTCAAGTTTGCATTTGTTAGATATCATTTATCGCCATTTTATCGCCTATCCATCAATTAATATTGATTGGGAAAACTTCGCTGATTAATCACTAGCGTTAACAACGTACAGACAGAAAAATCTATGAGAATGAGGAAAATAAATGATTAGGTTAAATGCGTAAGACAAATTATTATACTTTGACATTTCTTTATATTCCCCGTGCCTCTTCGTTCTTAATTACTAATAAAAAAAAACTAATATAGCAATAATGAATGAGAATAAAAGAATTCATGGGTTAGTGACTTTAACACATTAAATTATTATTAAAGCTCTCGTTACACTATACAGGATATTAAGTTAGACCTTTAATCAACGAGCAAACCAATTTTAGCATATATCTATAAGAATTTTTCTGAATAAACTGAAGATGGGGAAGAATAAATTGACGAGAGAGAAAAATATCAAAATGAAAAGAAATCATTCGTAAAGTTTATCTTTATATACAAGTATATATTCGTTTTTACTATTGACGATTTTAATTTCCATATTTTTTGGAAACTTTTTGGATACAATATATATATATATGTAAATGCGTGCACTTATCGTTTTATAGTTTAATTCATAATAACAATATAGGTACATACCTACATTCGAAGAGTCTCCGAATATAGTCGAACCGCGTATAACTCGTTTCTTGTTTATTTCCTTAAGATTATGCAATGGAATGTGTTACAAAAAAAAAATCGCTGGCTACATGACTGTTTTTTTTTTCTTTACAGTACAGAATAAATAACGTCAACTCGATTAGACATACACAAAAAAATACACTAATCTTGGTGTCCTGATAAATAATGACTGACAAAAATTGTATAAAAGTAAAAAAATAGAAAACGTTTTTAAACCGAACAAGATGTAATGATCTCAGAGTAATCTCTCTATGCCAATAGATTAAAATTACTATTGAAACATAAGTGTATTCCATAATCAATTTGAAATAATCATACAGCTACAAAATAAGATTCTTGTATCCTATTTTGTGATGTATTTTCAAAACATCGTAGATAGAATGAACGAACCCCGGCAGGTTTTCTTCTCATCAGTGAACGGTATATTCGAATTGCATACATGTGTCCTGTGTGTATGGATATGGTTAAGTATATGCCTCACACACACGCTTGCAAAATGAATGACGCAAAACGTGAATTATGTTGCTGCGACAACTTTATATCGAAAGAAAAAAAAGAAAGTCTTCATCGCGAATTCAAATTTGTTCTTACTTTTAAAATCCATAAAATTTATATGAATTTTATATTCCAACTCTCCTTTCTTCCTCTTTTCCAATACTGTTCTTTTTCTTTCTCTTTCTCTTCAACAAATTAACAAGATAGAAAAACAAAAAAAAGAATGCAATAGGATATTTAATTTATCGTAAATCGGAAGTTTTCTTATCTCACGACTAAACGTAAATTTTTGAAGAATAAAAAAGAACAGAAAGAGAAAACATACACACAAGAATAGACCCGCATTTAAAATAATCCTAATCGATCGTCCTTCCCATAAGAACTACACACATATGCGCGTTCGTCGAAAGAACGAAAAGAAAAAAAATGGGAAGAAAATATACATATATATAATTACTCGAAAAATGAATTTTTCTTTTTGTTTTCGATCACGTAAAAAAAATAAAATAAAAAGAAGAAAGAAAAAAGAAATTGTAATTATTACAAAATTATGTCCTCCTGTGGCTGATTTCAATGAGTTGGAAATATATTGGCAAAGTCATTATTTTGAACAAGTTTAGTTTTATATTTGTGATACGAGTCTGGTTTAGCTCAGACTTACTCTAACCACCCACTCAACCACCCCCTGTAAAGTAAAAATATTTCTGGTATTATATCGAACAAAAAAAAAAAAGAAAATTCCGTTTTACGATCGTTAAACTCATATTGTTGTTGGAATAAAAACTCAACTGTATATCCGACTATGTGTATATATAATGAGAGGTGCGAGTTCTATAATGAGGAATATTTGTTCTCGCGTCTCGCCACGCATGCTCTACATTCTACGTGTGTGTGTGCTCCGGTGTCTGGGTCAACGACTATTAATCTTACGATTAACAATTTTCAAAAATGTTTATGATCTAAATTTTTTAGATAGAAAGAGAAAGATTTATTAAGAATTCAAAATCAATCGAAGAATTGTAAAAATCCCCTCCAAAAAAAAGAAAAGGAAAAGTATACAGCATTATGCGTCAGGTAGGCAAGTAACTTGTGCAACAAACATGGACACTTTTTTAGTGCACGTTTTTCTAAAGAGGCGCGGTATGTTCTTCTTGTCCTGAATACAGAATGACCAAATGGACTAAATAAACGCCCTCATAATACGTTTTCTAACATGTCTTTCTATAACTACTTAAACTAAACTAATACCACCTATAAATTAGTTTTATCACTAGGTCTTAATGCTCTTCTACAAACGCAACTGTCTGAACTCACGCAACTTTAACCAGAGATAAAATCAACGTTACGCGATGATATCACTTTTCAATCAATTTTTTCTTCCTCACTCTCTCTCGGTCCAAGTTTATAAAATAAAATTAATAAAATATATACATATAACAACACAAATATATTTCAATCGTTAATTTTTATTTTTATTAATTCCACGTCATAAAAGACACTGATACGCGAGAAAATCAATTTTTTTAAAGGGACATTAATTATAAGTAATACATTAAAATGAAACACATATATCAAATCGTAGGCAACCATCGTAGAATTTTTCACGAGATATTTTATGTTAATCCATTCGAAAGTTCATAGATACATTTTACGTGTGTTATAAGAAAACGTAATCTACATTCGCGTATTAAAAATACTACATTCATTAGACATATACGCGTGTATGTGATATTCTATAAAATAAGCATACAACATATGTGGTACTATTTAGAGAGCATAAACATTAATCATGTCACGTAATAGATCTCAACGATTCCGTACGTTCATTACTCTTTTATAGATATCGGTATATGATCGAAAATGTTCGACAAAGTTTATTATCATACTGCTGAGGAGGCAGGCAAGCAAGCAAGCAGGCATCGAATCGAGCACGTGATTTCGTTTGACGATATCGAGGAAGCATTATATTTCCTCCTCCTCCTCGTCGTCGTAGTCGTCGTAGTCGTCGGTAACAACACTAATTGTCGATTAAATTTTTCATTAAATCACTCACCGCGGGATAATCAAAATCCGGGGAAGACGAGACGTTCAGGATATAGTCGACGCTGCTCTGATTTGCAGGATCCTCTAACGTCACGGGCGGTGCTAACGTGCTCATAGCACTGGTTATCGTCTGCAAAAAAGAAAAAAAAAAACAAAATAAGAAACAAAATGAAAACGTTAAGTTCTCGTTAGTTGTTCCATTTTCTTAATCCCTTCACACCCCCCCCCTCCTTACCCCGAGCGAGCTGAAATAAATTCAACAAAAATATAATATAATGATATAATAATGATAAATATTATTTATTTCACAATTGATTGATATTATAGAAAACAAAAGAAAAATAATAATAATTTTGTATTAGTTTGAATATAAATAATTAAATGAATATTAACAATCGACGAGAAAGAATTTTGGTGTACGATGATGTAAGTTAATGTTACTTATTAATTACTCGTTAATATTAGTATTTAAACATTTGTTCTCTTGCTTTTAAAAAAAAGAGGCAACTATATTTAAATTGCAATTAATGAAAGGATAAAATAAAGAATAGAAACGATGGGGTAAAAGATTAAAGTTTAACTATCTCGCGCAATAGACTTTGCTGATGCTTCTCGTTTTTCTTCTATTTCTTTTTTTTCGTTTTACACGCGTACACGCAAATATAATAATAATAATAATAATAAGAATAATAAAATAAAAACATTTAACCGAGTGACAAAATAAGATTCCTCGTGGCAAGAAACCTTGTGGAAAGTGCACTAGATTGAGATATTCATATTTGTCCAGTAAATTACTGCTAATATTAGCAGTGAGCCAACGTGTGGTCTTTTAACTCGTCTTCGACAAATACACTTTGAAACTGGCATATCGCCTACGTTCACGATGATTTCGCCCACGATGAACGACACACAAAACGATATGTCCGGATTTAAGGATGTAAAGAACTTTAGCCCAAGAAATACTTCTTTAAATTTTAAACATTCAATGGAAAATACTGTTAAGACAAATTTGTCAAAATCTTCACATTTGTTCCTGATCGTACACGGTAAAGATGGTTGGGTTCATTTGCGGTTATCAAAAAGGTTCCATAAATAAAAGAAAAGTTGGGGATTGAATATATAGTTGTTTGATTTCAAAACATTACCTGACCGTGCCAACACACAATTATTATCTTATTATTATTATTATTATTATTATTATTACTGTAACTTTGCTATTTTGCACAATTTGCATTTGTACCTTTAATTGAATATTCTTGAAACTAAATGTTTCGAGAAAATATAAGAAAAGTATGATTGTTATCTTGTCGTTTCCGTCCGAGACGGATGCAATAAAATTAATTACAATTTTATGATTCTTTTTTGTAAGCTCCTACTGGATGAGTCTAAACACTATTAATATTATATTAATGAGTATTTAATATCACTTACGTATACACATGTATATTCGTTTAATATATACAAAAGTGGAAGTAAAGTTATATTTAATTATACGTATTTAAAATACAGAAACAAATGACAGTTTAATGATGAAATATTGTGCATTCATTGGTGGATTTCGCATTATGCAACTTTAATAAAGAATAGGTTAAAAGTTTCTTCACCGATTTCAAATCAATTATTTTTTCTACACCTCTTTTTTTTGAGTAATTCTGTTTAAATTATAAGAATGTAAATTCAGGAACTTGTGGTCCACATCAAATAATTAATTATATTTGATAGATATATTCCTTCTCTTTTGAACATACGTACTCCGAAAGGTTTAATGTCTATTTCAAGAAGAATTTGAAGAAAAAAAGAAAAAGAAAAAGTACCTGTTGCTTCGAATGGTCCATTAAAATGATACTACACAAATGCATCATTTTCTACTCAAAAGAATCGGTATACGCGATGTTCGTTATTCTTTGAGAACTTCAATTTGTGGAGAATATTTATATTAGTTAAAATGAATAGATTATTTCGTTAATGAGTGACGTTTGAAAATGAATATAAAATGAATTCGCGTAAGGGTACGATAAAATTGGATTATGAGACACGAAGATATATATACGAAGAAAACTAACAGATCTTCTTACCAATATCGCATCTCTGATGTTCTTTTTTATGTCCTCGATTTTCTGGCGTTTTTCTCTGAAATAATAAAAATAAATAGGTTATATAGCAATCGATCAAATCAAATCAAAATCTATTTACCAAGTACAATATCGTAAGAAAACATCCGAATTAAGTATTAACCTATCATCATTAGATATTATATATCGTCATTAGGATATATATATAATTTGATCATGCGCGTTCTTGGAAAAAGTATATACGTAGGTATAGTGCGTCTAAGAAGAGAATGGGAATGGGACATGAATGGTCATAAGGGGGGCAAGAGGGACACACGAGGTACACTTGCTCCGCCTATTCCCACTTTGGACGCTTTCCAAGTCCACGGAGTAGGATCTTTTTAACATAGTCGTATGATTGAAAATTTTCGATGGACAACACATTTATGTTTCGTGGTCAAGAGTAGTTAAATAAAAAAAAAAAAAAAACATATTACCATCAGCAGTGTATTAATATTTTACCTTACTCCATTTGTCTTCTATCTTTGTTTTACGTATTGAATAAGTAGACGATGTGAGATCCTTTCCAGCCAATAAGGAAAATACTACCGCGATATAAGGTTACATTTAGTAAAAGTAGAAGGAGGGCACCGAACGATTGGCCCTTCCAACCAATCATGCCAATATCCTTAGCAGACACATTCTCTGCTTAGCCACCCTCTCCTGTAAATGTTTTCTGCTTATAGGAAAAAGTCCCTTGCCTTATGAGCAAGTCCCCTGTCGGTTTCATTGGCTAGAATGGTCGACTGCTTGCTTGCTTGCTTGCCTGCCTACTCTTCTTGCTTTACGTAACTCTACACCAACACGTATTTTCTTTACAGGTGGAACTGCTAATTCGAAGCGTTAAAAATAAAGAGAACGAACGGAAAACGTCGAAACAGAGTAAAATAAATCTTTTCGAGTATTTTGGCGCGTTAACATGCTTTTTCTATATTTTTCTTTTTTTTTTCTACCTTCGATTATAAATTAAACATAAATGTGTCCATCGGAAATGATCAATCATATGACGAAGACTATGTTACGAAAATCCTACTTTGTTGATTTGGAGAACGCTAAAAGTGGGAATGATGAAACGGAGGGAATCTTTTTTTCTTGCTCTCGTGTTCCCTCGGGAAGACTTGTCTTCACAAACGAATGGTATGTTAAGTAATACGACAGTTGCGATCTAATACAACGATCCTCCACTTTGCTTTGCTTGCTACTTTACTGTTGTATTAGATACAAGCCAATGAAATTTTAATATACAACACCTTTCTCTTTCTCTTTCTCTCTTTTAAAGTTTTTTCACGAAATTGTTTCACCGTACTACTGCGCTATTATTATATATTTTTTCTGTGTTCGATCGCGATTACTTTCTTACGCATCTAACTGGTTAACAAAGTATAACAAATATTATTTAAATTCTAACATTTCGACTTGACTATTAATAAAACTGGTATACTAATAAGTGAATTGTTGTTCGTTATAAAAATTATAAGATAAACAAAAAATATTAACAAATCAATAAAGTTACTCAAAACAAATGAAACTTTAGTGTTGCTGTATATTTTATACGAGGATCCAATTCTTTTTTCCGAAATAAAACGTTAATGTGAATACATATACATATATAATTTTTCAGTTGCAAAATAAAATGTGCATATATAAGGAATTATAATCACCACTGTGCAACCAATATTTACGTAAATATGCATATATTGTACGATCTCCGTTGAAGAGTTCTTCGCAATGCGATAAAAAAAAACAAGTTACAAACAAAAAAAAAATCCCGGAAAAGGGTTAATTCGAACAAATTTTGCCTATGATTCATGCGAATGATAATATAGTTATAATTTCTACGTTAATCGATCGCGTAAAGTTCGAAGTTGTTAAAAAATAAGAAGAAAAAGAAAAGAAAAGGAAAAAAAGGAAAAAAAAGAAGAAAGGAAAAAAGCAATGAGGCGCCTTTCAGATAGAACGTTATCAGTTCCTCGAGTCAGACAGAATTTACGACGCGCACGAAGTGGCCCGTTTGTTTGCACGTCGTTTTCATCCTATCTAGTTGCTCTTGATTTTTACGTACGACCATACGTATATGTATATGTGTAATGAGAATCATTAGCGATAACGGTATACACTTCTTCTTTCTTCGACCTCGCATGTTTATTTTTACTTTGCTATTCCAAAACGGACGTCAGTCGTTGCTTGACATCTTGTCGAAAGGAAATGTGAAATACAATTTGTTCTCATCTTTTTCTTTGCTATATATCAAAATGAGAACGAGAGGGAGGGAGGGGGGAAGAGAGAAAGAGAGAGAGAGAAACATAAAGGATTGACGATTCAAACTTGACCACGTGTTGATATTATGTTGATTGACGGTTCGAACTACTAGTCGTAATAACTCATTCCATACAAGTGCGTATTAATGAAAAGAAAAGTGGAGACTAAAATTAATAGAAAAAAAGTAAAGAAAGAAAAAAAAAATGAGTTAATCGAAAAAACAATTTGTTTTCGTTAAGTTACATGTGTCTTAGAAGACCGCCTTGAAAGAATGATCTGCTGTCTCTCGATCATTGGCATAAAATCTAAGAAAACTTACGCTTCGCTGAAGCCGTCGACATGCAATATCCTCATCTGTTTGACGATCGTACTTTTCCCAGATTCTCCCGCTCCTGAAAATAAAGGGCAACGTTATCGAAATTTATCTGGCATAAAAAGAAAAAAAGAAAAAGTACAAATCATTTTATAAAGTTTCATATATTAAATTCTTGTTTGATTCGTGAAAATTACGAATGTGCCATGCGTTTGAAATGAAATTATCCAACAAAAATTAACAACAGTTGGGGGAGGAGGAGGAGGAAGGATAGGGTGTGAGTTTTAGATCGACACCAGTCTTTTTATCCCCCACTTTAGTACAGCATCAATAATAATTATATACACACGTTAGAGAAAACAATGCGATAACAGCTGTTGCTTTTCGGCCGCAGGCGATATACGGATACGCAACTTACGTTGAATTAAAGTGACGACCTACATAAGCAAAGAATAGGAAGGTAACGCTGAGTTGCCGGCTGGTCTTAAATATCGCGATAAGTAGACACATTGGGGAGTGTTTGCACGCGTGCGCTTTTATGTTTTCGCACCTTTTTTTTCTTTTTTTCTTTTTTTTACTATACGTACTACATAATATATATTACATGAAAAAGAAAGCGAAAAAAGGAACGAGCGAAATAAACGAACGGATATAAAATGTGAAAGAGGTAGTTAGAGGAGGAAGAAAGTGAGAAAGATGGAAAGAAGGACATAAAAGTGAGTGAAAGCATGATAAGAGAGGTAGAGGTAAAGCTAGAGGTAAAGCTAGAAGTAGAGGTGGAGGTAGAGGTAGAGAGAGAGAGAGAGCATAAAAAAGGTACGACACAAACAGCGGTTGGGATATTCGTGGGTGCCGGCTCGTACGATAATCGATAAAATCGAATAACGCGCCGATGAACATCACGATAATGTTCGGCCTGTCCTCAACGGACGCGCGTCTTTGTCCGAAAGCGATTGCCAGCCGTCTGATGTGAGTTAATGTTTTAAGTTACCTCGACAAATTCTCCCCCCTCTCCCCGCCCCCGCCACCCCCCATAAAAGATTCATAGTTAAGAGAAACGTCTTGTAATTAACAAGTATAAAGGCTATTCTAAATCGATATTTATATTTAAATTCGCTCACTGTAGAGATACACTGACGCGACTAAGAGAAGATATAAGATGTGATGCTTGGCTCTTATACCTTTTTCACGAAACCTAATTCAATTACGAATATCCCGCGTTTTTCTACAAACACCAATGGAATAGAATTGTGTTGTTTGTAGAAGCGTGTAATTCTTCTACCTTAGTAAAGTGACAAAATACTTGTTATTCTTTTTACATTTTCGTAATGGGGGATTTTGTTTAATATATTTTCTATATTATTCGACTCGATTGAAAAATCAGTGTTATACGATATCTCTCGGTAGAATCATCCGCGTCATTTTTATTATCAAATCTTGCACATATTTGTTCTATTGTACGTACATACGCGCTCGAATAAATGAATCATTCGTTAGTACGTACGCATAAATGAAATGCGCGAAAAAGCAATATATCGCGAAAGGCTTGTACCTCGTTAAACCCGCAATCACGTTGATGGATAAATTTAGTCGGGCAAATGTCACGAATACGCTTACACAAATCTTCGTGATCGAAATAAACGGAAATGATGAAAATGAAAAAAGGATAAAAATGAGTAAAAAAAAAAAAAAGAAAAGAGAAAAAGAAAAAAAGGATATCGCTTACCGAGTAAGAGGAGCCTGTGAGTAGCTCGATAAACTTGCTTGTCCTTCTGCAGTTGCCTGGTAATGGCATCCGAGCGTCTCTTCTGGTTCTTCGAATCATCCTGACTGGCCTTACTGCTCTGGCTGCCAAAGCACCCCATGACACACCACGAGAAAGACACACGTGACTCGCCCTCCTCGTTATTCCCTGCCACTTCTGCCGATCTTCCTTTTTCTCTTCTTATCGATGAGGAAAAGATCGACGCCACCCCTCCACCGAATGAAAAGGGTGCGCGCGCGCGCGTACTCCTACAGGGCCGGTACAAGAACACACACGAGAATATGGCTACACCGGAGACGGCGATACGACAACGACGACGACGACGACGACCACGACGGCGACGGCGAAGGTGACAGCGACAGCGACGGCAACGGCAACGGTGGCGGCGACGCCGACGGCGACCACGACGGAGGTGGCGGTGGTGGAGACGACCACGACGGTGGTGGCGGTGGTGGAGGCGACGGCGACGACGACGGCGACGACGACGACGACGACGACGACGACGACGACGACGACGACGCCGACGACGACGACGACGACGACGACGACGACGACGACGGCGACGACGACGACGGCGACGGCGACAGCAACGGCAACGACATCGACGACGTGAGGATGTTCGAAATGTGCACCCTCTCCTGCCGCTCACTAAGGCACGTTCTGCTTGTTAAATAACTGATCACGCTTTTTTATCGCTGGTTTACCCGTACCTCCAAGTTCACACTCTATTTCTCAAGAAAGGGTTATGCGACGATCACTGTTACTCGCACTTGTTCCCTGCGTTGCTCTCTTTCTCTCTCTCTCTCTCTCCCTCCCCCTTTCTCCTTTCTATTTCTCGTCCTACTTCCCTTCTCACCTTTCTACTTGATATGTACGTACGTACGCCGTTGGAGATTCTCCTCGCACTGTACGCACTTCATGTTTCCTTTGGCCAGACCCTCCATTGGTCCATAACTAAAAGTGATATTATCGCCGATGATGAGTCAAGGAGCGTTTCTGGGCAACCGTTTGAGCCAACCGACTGGCCGGTCGACGATGATAACGATGACGAGAATAGTTTACTCCTCCTCCACCATGCAGTGAATATCCTTCGATGTTGAGAGGGGTGCCAAAGAAACAGAAACAGCACTTAGACACGAAGGCCGACGACGTTGTCTCGTGCGATACGACTCTGTGCGAATCCGTTCCAAGAGAGGAAGGAAGGAAGGGACGCGGCGCGTGTATGCGGCCTCGCCACCTCCCGGACCCTGCCAACTCTGCCGCTGCTGCCGCCGCCGCCGCCGCCACCCCTTTTACTCCCCGCCCACCCTTGGCGACGGCCAACGAAAAACACCGAGACGTTAAAATAGATCGGCTTTCGACATGCTCATGCTCTCGCAAGTCCGAATCGAGTCGACAACGATTACTCGTCCCCGCCGACAGGTGGGGAAAACTGTCAGAAATCCAACGACAAAATTCTTTCTTTTTCACCTTCCTTTTCTACGAAGTGACTCTAAACAATAGTGTGTCTCCTTCTCCGTCTTCTTTTCGTTCTTCCTTCGAACTAACTTTGTCTCTTCTCTTAACTTTGATTAGGAATCACAAACTATACCATTCCACTTTGCAAATGTACCGAAAATAAAATCCTTTCTGGTTAATAATCGTAGAGGTCGGTTATTCGGGGGCTTGTCCGAAAGCCTTCTCCCCGGCACTCGATGCCACCGCTGGTACTGCCGCCACCGCTGCTGCTGCTGCTACCGTTGCCGCTGCTACCGCCACCACCACCACCACCACCGTCGCCGCCGTTACCCCCGCCACTACCCCCCACCACCGCCGCCGTCGTCGCCGCCGCCGCCGCCGCCTTCCTCCACCTCCTTAAAATCTCTCGTTAAAACACAGACACAGCCACCACCACTCCATTAGCACTATTAAGGAAAAGCCAAGAACCTGATTCAGTCACTTTCTCTGTATCCAGATGATTTTGTTTGATCCTTTCGATAATTTGTACTCTCCTCTCAGTGAAAAATCTTGAAGAAAAGTTCCGATCGAAAAGTCCGAGAGGAGGTACTCCCTGCAGCCATGATGTCGTCTGCTAAACGCGCTGGCGCGTTGGCGCCCAGGCTCGTAGCGACCTACGAACGCGCTTCACCTCTGTCCCGTGTTATTCCAAAACCCCCCTACTTATCTTTTTGCTGCGACACTTTTATTCTTTTTAGACTTCATTACCATTCCCGATTTTATTTCATCTTTTTATTGAATACGTCTTTTGTAAATGAGAAATCTTTTTTTTACTTAACAACGATTAAAGTTAATACATTATGCATGCGCGTTCTCTTATTTTTTTCAAGATCGTTTAATTTCAAACAAATATCTAAATAAATATTATATTCGTAGGAATATTAAATACACGAATTGAAATGCATTGAAATTATTGATCGGAAAAGATCATTCATTAAAGAAAATAAATCTATGATCTAGCTTACAAATAAAGTAAAGGGTACACAAATTTAATAAGACGATACTGACTTTTCCGAACGAAGACCGAAAATTGATCGGGTCTTTCCGATCAAGTTAATATCAAAGCATACAGGTGTCGCCAGTGTTTTTCTACTGTGCATTCACTATTAACCCGCGTATTTAAAAATTATTTTTTCGTTACCTTTTTTTACATTTGTAAAATGATTCCTTGTATAAAAGTACAAACATTTAGCGAAAATAAATAATGTATAGACATAATAAACGTTTATGCACAATCAATATGTATTTCACGAAAGAATATCATTTTTATTGAATGTTCGTATAAATGAAGTTTTTTTCTATAATCGCATATTTCTAAAGCAAACAAATATATACATAATTCAGTTTCTATTTTTTTTTATAATAAAATAAAAAGTCATATGGAAGGCATGTTACTATTGGAATGTTTCTTTTATTTTGTTTTGTATAAATCTAATGATCTCATAAAATTTGAAATAGAAAATTTTTTAAATTTATTCTAACAAAATAATTTTAAATACTTTTTTATTATTTCCTCTACCATGTTATCTCTAGAAATTTCTTGCCCAATATTTTACGTTACATTGGACTATACAGACGTCAGATCTGTCCAGAAAATATTCGACTTACGAATAAAATAATACTTGTTTTTTACTTTCTAAAGATAAAAATTCGTTACTCGATTCATTCGAGCAATGTTATAATATATTAGTACTGGAGTCCATAGTGTTTATATGTGTATATGCACGCGTATAAGCAATAAGAGAGGGAAAATATCTGGTCTAATTGTAAGCTCGGTCTTAACTATCCCTGATTGTTTGTTAGTCTTCTATCTAAACTCTCTTATTGCTGAGATTCATAATTAAAAAGTTAATTACTTAGAAAGTAAGTTCATTTACGCTTTTTCTTGCGACGTTATCGGTTTACTATACTTACTTAACTATCTATCCAAAATTTGTTGAGAAAAAATTAGCAGAGCTGTGCTTTTGAGATGGTACGAACTCATAAAAGTTGTCCCTAAATGATTGATACTCGTTTTTTGTGGGAACATACATTAAAAAGAAATACTCGCAAATCGAATACTTTTTGGACAAACCTCTTACATAATTTTGAAGGCATATATTTAATATAAGCATGGTCATTATATTATTGCATTTTCTCTGTGATATCATTGAGCAAATTCTTTCTCTACCATTTCAGTTTTATATAATTAAATTAGACCTGCGCAAGTCGTTTTTATTCTCGACAACTTTCTGGTTCTCCTCGTTGTCATATGATGCCATTTATCATGCTTATGTCTTCTTAGATTTAAAGAAACATTTATCTGATATCGTTTATCTAATCTTCTCAATCATGCTGCTTGACGCGCAAGCTAGATGAGATTATTTAGCTCTTACAATTTTTGGAATTGATTCCAAGTTGGCATCTTTCCAAGATTTCCAACTTTGGACTTGATACGAGCTAAAGTAAGTTTTCCTTCAATTTCTATCAAATCCACGTTATTTCTTTCACGTGGAACAAATGTTGAATTACAGCTCAGCTGTTGTTTTAGGCAAGTCTAGAGGTTTTGTATCTTCCGCCAAGAGAGTATTTAAATCTATATCCTGTAAATTGATTGAATGTTGACTGGAACCTGGAAATTATTTAGGATTATTATAAAAAAAATATACAAAATAATATGTCAAAGAATTGTTTTTAATGGTGATATGTAAACAGTAATTTTCAATTTCAATTCAAACTTAATTACCAGCATGAGCAAGGAAAAGATCCTTAAGGAACCCCAATTCTTTCGTAAGCATTTTTATTTTCTCTTCTAATAGCTCATTTTCTCTTTTAAGTTGATTTACACGTTCAAGAGTCTGTTGCGTGCGTAATTTACTTTTAACTCTTGATCGTTTTACAGCCTATATAATTATATAGGAAAAGGAACTGTACATTTTAATAGTATTAAGGAGATTAATGTTATTTTCTAAATATCAACTACATATACGCACATTATAAATTATATCCAAATAAATACCAAACGATTTTACCTGATTATTTCTATCACGGCGCCTTCTATAATCTTCGTCATCTTCTTCTTCAGAAACTTGTTTTTTCTTCTTGTTACCAGAATTGTTTTCTTTATTTTTGGGCGCCATCTAAAACTTGTTAATTTGTATGTTATTACTGAATTTATGAAATTCTTTAAATTGATAATTAATCATTAAGATTATAACGTAATGTTTAACACTTAAATAGATATTCAATTTCACAATTCATTATTGGAAGAATTATACTAATCGATGAATAATAATTAAACCGTAAATACAAATTCAAAGATGACACATAAAAGTTTTAAAAAGTTGATGAATCAATTATATTATATGACTAGTTAAGACTAAATTCATACTAGAATAAAAAGTTTACGACGACAAAAGCGTTACCTAGTGGTCAAGTCTGGAAGTTTTTTATTCAGAGAAAATGTAAATAAAATCTTTCCATTCGGAAATTATATATTTCTCCGTTTGATAAGATATCTAAGAACGATATAACTTCTCCTTTAAAAAACTTTACAAACTTATATATATAAACATATGTATTTATAAATAATAGACAGAAAAAAAATGACAAGTATCACCAACTGTTTTCCATATGTCACGTGTTCTTTTTTCCTACTCCCCGTATTATTTCTAATTGTCGCAAAGTTATTTTCTTGTCAGGGTCAATGTTTGTCGAACACGCAATAGATCGACAAAAATTATATTCGCATTTAACCGTATGTTTAAGACATTTTAAACGTTGCTTTAATTTCGCTTACCTTTCGAGATTATTTTGATATTTTTCTAAGATTTAGAAATTGTTTTTATATCCGATAAATCGTAGGCATATATCGTAGGATAGACACTATTTATCGTAAATCGCACGTTGCATTAACACGACGACGACACAACTTGACAGGTGATGCAACGAAGCTCTATGCTTCGTGGGTGATGCAATAAACTTGCAGTTAATCCACAAAGAGAATACAACGCTCTCTGGCGAGAATTATTCGAATTGTTAAAACCTAAGAAAAGTTACTAAAAATATGTTTTTATTTTACACCTTATGCCTATATATAGGGGAAAAAGATGGAGATTTAAATATATATTTTTATAAAAAGTCCATGATAACATTTTTCTTTCCTTATTGTTTCTTCTTTATAAACTAATTTTTAAATATTCCAATAATCCAATTTATCGATACATTCTTTTATTTAACGTTGAACTCGTAGATTATTTTCTCGTGGAACAGTCGATTACTTAACATTTTATATAAGTTTTACAACGCACGCAAGTTAATAATGTATTAATAAAGACAAGAAATGTATCGAGCAGTTTGTCGGAAAAAAATTATAGTGTTTAAAAAATATTCATGGCGGGAGTTTACGGACTACACTAGCGTGTTCTCTATACAACGTCTTTATTTCAACTGTCCAATCCTAGGAAACCGTATGACTTCCTTGCCAACCCTCTGTGCCTAGGGATTACTTCTTAGGGACTTTATCCGAATACTGTTATATAATGAATTTTTTAATATTATCTTCAAACAACTCGATTCTGCATAAAAAAATATAAATTAATTTTTAATTGCTTTTTGTGTGTGTGTGTGTGTGCAACTCTAAATCGTCGTTTTTACAAAAAAAAGTATTTTTCTATGTTAATTCTTGGTGTGCTACGCATAACCAATGCAATTCTATTTCTTTAATCTTTTGTTTCATGGTGTCGTTTGCATCGGCTGCCACCAGGTGGCAATGTTAGTCGGTGCAACCACCACATGTTATTTATATTTCAACTTATAAGATAAATATTAAACTTTAATTATAATGCATAAAGAGAATTCTTAGAATTCTTAGGTAGAAATAGAATCTTTATATAAATAATATTAAACATTTAATGTTAGTTATTTGTTAACAATATTGTTAATATAAATATAATATATGTGTAACTACATTATATATTAAACGGTATATTTTTGTATAAATTGTAAAAATGGCAAAAGGTCATAAGCATTTGAAACATCTAAAATCAGAGAAGGCTAAAGTGAAATTAAAAGCAAAAAAAAATAAACTATTACCAAAAGGATTAAATGTAACAGATACATCGTTTAAAGTTAAAAAAATCGTCATACGTGAACAGTTCAGACAATACGATGAAGCTGAAATAATCAGTAAACGAAAGCTTAATATTAAGGTATGCATATAATGCGTGTATGTATATATGTTGCCATTATTTTATGAAATCCGTTAATTTATTATATAAACAGTTATTATAAATAAAATAACTATAACATATTATGACTTTTTTCACTATCACCCTGTCCTAACATTATCATTGTATTCTTTCTGTTTATAGGATTTGTTAACTCGACTTCAACATCACAATTCTACAATTCGTCAAGAAGCGGTGAAAGAACTCAAAGACATTTTATTACAACATTCTTCAGAAATGTTGAGTTCTCAATTGCATCCATTGTTAAAAGGAATTTCTGCTTTATCTCTCGATAAAGAAAAAAATATAAGAAGAGATTCTTTCAGAGTGTTAAGTCTCATTTTGAGTCCTATTTCTACTAAACGACTAACACCTTTTTGTGATATTTTAATATCATATTTAAACTGTGCAATGACACATATAGATCCAAATATTAAAGAAGATTCTTTATTATTTTTGGACACATTAGTACAAAATTGTAATAGTGTCATTGCAAAAAGCAGTCATAAAGTATTGCCAAATTTCTTGAACATGATTTCTAGAATACACACTGAAATAAAACCAGGAAGACAATTGACAACAACATTGAATTCGAAGAATACTAGTGTCAAATGGAGGATTAAAGTCTTAGAACGTCTTGGAAACATGCTAGGATCTGTTATAAGTTACAAAAAAACACAAAATAACATGCCATCTGAAAAATTAATATACGTAGATAAAAAAACTAAATATATTCCGCTTTACACGCAAGTTGATGTACAAGACTGTCAAATAGATTTGGAAAGTATTGTTAGCTTGGAAAATATTACCGATGAAAAAAGTCGAGATGCAAATGAACTCGTGAAATATATAAGTGTATTAATGCCTTTGATGCTTGATAGCTGGATTGAAGTATGTCCAGAAGAAAAAAATGGTCATATTTCTGAAACTATTATTACTTGCGAGGCATCTATTTTGTTAAAACATATTGTAGTAATAATACAATTAATCATTGAATATATTGATATATTAAACGATGAAGATACCAAAATGTGGTTTAAAAATTCTTTTCAAAGTGGTTACATTAAGAACTTGTTCTCCGAATTTCCATATAGTAGAAAAAATACTGTTGAGACTTTAAGGAAACGGCAAAAAGATTTTTCTGCTTTAGAAATGATTGATAAATGTTTGGAGCAAAATTTGGGCATTTGTCAAATTTATGCTTGGTTTACATCTGTTAATATAACTCATAATATCACAGATAAGTTGGACAAGGCATCCTGTAAATACGTTATGGATTATTTAAATGGTATTTTAAATATATTTAATTATATAATGTTTCTATCACTTATTTATCAATTTCATTATTTACAGAAATAATTCGTGGTTGGTCCGATATTGATAATTTCGCATTGGCACAACTAAATAAACTTTTGAGAACCTTATTTTTCAAAGCAAGTCAGGTATGGTACATCAATCAAATGACAATGAAACCTATATTCCAAGCAATGATAAATGCTAATTCTTGTCAATCGAAGAAAGAGTTACACGTGCTATTACCTAATATAATTACTGATATTATGTTAGAGTATACATTAACTAAATTACAAAGGTAGAGCTATTTTTAAAACATATATTTTATATATTTATACTTTTAAATGCTTTTTCTTAAATTTAAAAAAGAAAAGAAATTCTAATAATAATTTGTCCATTATAGCGAAAGTATATTGAAGGATTTTCTATCAATGTCACCATTGCTTCTTTTACATTCTTCCATACACGAAAATATGATACAAATGATTAATCGTGCTGTACTTTGTCATAAGGAATGGATGCATGATGTACTTGTAAAAAACCAGGATGCTATTATTGGTAAATTACTTGATATATTTCTCTAATAGGTTTTTATTTAAAGGAATTCATATATTACAGTGAATGATGGGTCAAATAAGTTAATCCATTAATAATTAGCTCTTAAATGAAAACTCTTGAATACTCTAAATAAGTTAATGCAAATAAGTTTTTGTACACTAATATGAATGTCCAAGATATTACTTTCGAAATTTTATGTAAATAAATTTTTATTTATTTTTTTCACATTTTGAGTTAGAGTATAATAAATTACTTTACAGAAACTTATTTGACCTTCTGTACATACGAATTTTCTATTCAAATATACTTGATTATTTGTATTGTTTGTATTACAGAAAATGCGAAACAAATTCAGATTATAGGATCGAAGGATGAGAAACGTTCTCGTTTAATGATATGCAATTTATTTTATTTTATAACTAGAGAAGTATTTTATTAATGAAAAATGACATTTTATTAAGCATCAAGTACAAATTATTTTATAAATAGCAACTGCAATTTGGCAGGAAATAAAGAAGTACTATTGTAAATACATAAACGTCATTTAAAAAACGTTCTTTTTCCACGTATTAGAATTCATTCTTCCTGGAGATAAAGGAAAGTATAAAAATGAAATTTAAATAATTTTTAATTATTTTATGTGTTACCTGCAAAAATATAAAAGTTATTAAAAAACATTATAAAGTAATTAATTTCTATAGACGAAATGCATAGAAGAAACTGATGAAAGGAATAAAAATATTATATTAAATAAAAAGTTCAAAGAAACTAATTACAATTATAACGTCTATGGTAAGCGGTCTTTGCCTGAATTTTACTTGCAATGGAATGTATAGCATATAAAATATGATAAACATTACATTGAAAGTAAAATACCATTGCCCAGGTCTAACCACGAGGAGGTAACCGCTTCTGAAGACCCACGACGGATGTGCATTTTAAAGAATAACGCAAATGAATAAAATTTGAATGAAAAAAAAAAAATTATTAAAACGAGAACCCTTTTTTAGGTATTCGAGAAAAAGGTTTCATTTCAATATCTTAATTTACTAAGGAATAAATTTGACAAGAATTTAATCGATCTGAAATAGATAATAAAAACAAAAAATTCCGAAGCAATCGAATATCGCTAATCGATATCATGAAATAATCTCAATTAATCTTTTATATATGTAACCTTTTTTTCGATCTAATCATATCTCTAAATTAAACTATTAATCACTAATCAATCTGATTTATATTGAACTTTTAAATTTAAATTTGACCATTTTTTTTATAATACTCATGTTCACGAATATGGAACAAAATTCTCATTGTAACAATCTAGATCGTTTCCATTCAGGATTAAGACACGATACTATTATTCGTGGACAATCTGCTGCTACTGCTGCTACTACAATAAATAAAATAAATTCTCAACAATCAACTAAAAGATTGGCTTCAGGTAAGATACCGTATTGTTTCGCGAAAATTCTTTCTTTGAAATACATATTTTTATCCATGATTACACGTTGATTAATAATCGGTAAAGCTGACGAAATATCGATCCAGTCAGTGAGCCTGGTGCAACCAACAAACGGAACGAACCGAAGAAATCAGCGATATCTCCAAAAAATGACTTTTTATTGCAAGGATTTTATAAGTCCAAACTTGTCCAAGTTAAACAACAAAGAAAACAATTTGAACAACAAGTTTTAAAATCCGTTATAAGACCAACCAATTTGATTCCATCGCCAATTATTTTAAATAAAAGTACGGATAAAGTACGAAGGCCAACGTCTACTCGAACATTGTTAAATTTCAACCACAATGTAAGAAGATAAATGTATATATATATATATATATAATCTTATTTTCCAATAAGACTATAACTAAAATATTTCTTTTAATATATTCTGTTTTAGAATGAAGAAAAAAATATCGATAAACCTTCGATTCTTTCTAAAACGACGAAAAATAATTATCAAACGATCGCCAGCATAGATGATATTTCGGATTCTAATGAAGAAGCTGTGAATAATTTTTTATTACCAAAAGATAATTTATCGTCTGAAGAAAGTCATTCTATTAATTTTAAGGCTAACACATCTGAAGAGATAGAATCCGAAAATAAATCTATTGAATCTAAAACAATTGAAATGGAAGAAATATCGGTGGAAAATGCAAATATAGATCATAACGGTAACAAGGCAACTTATTTTGTGGTTCAACGAAGAGTGGAAGAAGCTATCAAGGTAAAAAAAAAACTAATATCATAATAAAAAAATTGATTGTCTCAACGTCAACTTATAATTGTTCGTAGAATAAGAAAATTTTTTTAATACGTGGCGATATTCCATATTTGGAAAATACATTGAAGAAAAGAGGTTGGATAAAAAAATACGAGTCTAGAAAATCGAGACACCTGCCTTATGGTATTTACTATAACATTCCAATTTTCTAATTATTACGATGATTACGTTTACGATGAATTGATTTTAGGTAGTTCAGCTATCACGGATCCACCGTCAATTGGTAATATTCATCTTCCAGATGGATCCTTGAACGAAGATTATGTTATCTTCAGTGTGTTGAAACATATCTCGCCAGATTTTATATGGGATTGTCGAAATGATTTTGTCGAATGGACGGGTCATATCAAACCTGATACTTTGTTGAATAGATTTGAAAAATCATTTATATACACGTCGAAGGTAAAATAATAATAAAAAAAAAACAAAAATAAAAATAAAAAAATTTATTTTGTGAACAATTAGAAAAATGTTTTCTCTTAATTATTAATTGTACATTTTATATATTTTTGTTGTTGTTGTTGTTGTCAGCTTGGAATGGCAACAATTTTGGAAAACGTTCATTGGTATATCGAAGATGACGTTGCAAGTGTACAATATCCAAGAAGTTACAACGTTGCACGCGACAAAACTGCATTTACTGATGATTATCGACAAACTGCAGCAGTGAGCTTTTTAAAATGGTTCATCGATCAAATCGAACAAGGTGTTCATTTATCTAATAAAGGCTCGTCGCCTATTTCTCCGAAACAAATCGAATTTGCGATAAAACGATGCGAGGAATTTATTGCCATGAAAAACGACGAATATTTGGACACACCAGAAGTCCTCATTTCTTCGATAGAATGGGATAAATTTATCGACGATTACATTATGGCTGTTCATCATGGCAATGGAATTATAGATGAAGAATCGGAACAAATCGACAGTGAACGATCGTCTTTAATCGTAAATAAAATATTTATTAAACCAAGGAAATTCGTGCAGTTTTTATCAATAGAAATAAATGACTTACAAATCTAAAAACGACACGAATTTTTTTGGTTTATTTAATAATAATATAATTAAAGATTTATACTTATTTATACTAATTTTTAAAATATTAGATTTTATACAACTTAGCGTTGGAAACTTTAAAGAAAGTAAAAGAAATCGATCCTCAATACGAATTAAACGGAACCCGAAATATTTGGATTCTAAAGCCAAGTAATTATTGTTGTGGAGTAGGAATTGCAATGGCTCATAAATTAAGTTACATTATTAAGAGAGTACAGGATTGCGCGAGAGATTATTTTATTGTACAAAAATATATAGGTAATCGTAAATATAAATTAATCCTTTTGGGTAAGTGTCGAAATTAGTGGAAAGCATACGAGAAATTTAATTTTGTAGAAAAACCATTACTGGTAAGGGATACGAAATTCGACGTTAGACAATGGTACCTTGTTACCAGCAGTTATCCTTTAACTATATGGATTTACAAGTACAAAGTTTGTTTAAGAATAAAATTATTATCATTTTATTTCATAGCAAAGTGAACAGAAAATATTATTGTTTATCAGAGAATCATTTTTACGTTTTAGCTCAAGACCGTTTTCTTTTGATAGCTATCACGAAGCCATACACATTTGTAACACTGCGGTCCAGAACAAATATATTATTCCTAAAAATTCCATTCGTTCTCTAGACTGGGATTGCGAGAAACTTAATGAATATTTAAAGTGAACATAAATTAATTAATATTTAAATTAGTGAACATAACAAAAACGATCTTTTTTTTCTTATGTACAGAACGATAGGCTATACGGGAGAACCATGGTACGAAAAAATCTATCCAAAAATATGTCAAGCTATAATTGCTACTATGTTAGCAGCCCAAGAACATATGGATAAAAGAAGATACAGCTTTGAATTATATGGAGCAGATTTTGTAATAATGAATGATCTGTCGGTTTGGTTGATAGAGATTAATACAAATCCTCGTATGCATCCACCTGGAACTAGAATCACTCAAAGATTATACCCTAATGTATTAGAGAGTCTTATAAAAGGTGCTATTATTAATTTTACTTAAGGTTTTTCATCCAGTGACTTAGTTCGATAAAAATCCTCCTTTTATAATTTAGTCATAATGGATTATCCATTCAATCCAAACGCGGATACAGGAGATTTTGTGCTGGCATATAAACAAATGATCACTGATGTACAGCCAAACACTGGATTATGTCTGACTACTGTGGGTAAATCTATTCTACCAAAATCCAAAAGTTTACAACATACGAATTGGCAATATCTGTGAATTGATTTTTTACAAAATCTTTTATATATATATAATATATTATATATATATATATATATATGCAATATTTATAATACAAAAAGAAAGATACATAATTACATTGCCTAAATAATTATAATTATAACTAATGTATCCTAAAAGCTAAGATCAATTCGATTGAACAAACAAAAGAGCGACTAATAAAAACGTATTTATTTTACAAGTAACAATATCACGGGTACACAATTCTGTATGAACAGATTTTTTTTCCTTTTGCAGTTTTTCTTTTTTTTTTAAATACATATCTATACACGATTCATTAAAGGACATTTTTTCAAATGTCAGCACTTATATTTCAATACGTACAAAACCATCTACTTTCAATCTGTTATATCATATTAGATCATCCATTCACTTTCCCGTATTTATTTATTTCTGTTTTTGTTTTGATTTAAATAATGTAAAATTTTAGTAACGCCATAACAGATGTCTTTTACCAGAATTTTCAAATATGTAACTAGAACTGTTAAATAGTGAAGTATCACGTATCGCAGATATTAAAGAAATCTGTGTGCATGTTGTTTCATACAACCAATGAATAACATTGAACTTCAATAACGGAATAGTTTAATCAGTTTGTAGTTTCATACTTTTATATTTACTGTGTGAGACAAATTTGTTATCTCTATAGAAAATACAAATGTACCCTAACATAATATCCGTTATATATATTCTAACTGAAACAAAATTTTATTTCCTGTTATAATACAATAAGAGAAAATCCATACTATTTAAAATGATATTTGGGAACACATATATTTAAACCGCACTTACACCAAATATAGAATTAACTGACTTATTTAACACAGCCGTCTGTACGTCTGTGGGTAATTCATTAAATTACAAGCAATAATAGCGAATAATGAAGAAATATAGTTAACGTAAGATAGAATAAATTTTGATGTAAGTGTAGCTTAAAAAAAAGTTTAAAGTCCCATTTATGATTGTAATGAAACCTATCAAGCATGAAATCTATCATTCAATTTTGACATATCCACTTAAGTCATAATCAAATGACGTTTCAACGCTTTGGAGATTTCAACAATCACAGTGAATAAAATTCACAAAAACTTTGGGAATTTGTTGCTGCATTTGACTGAAATATTTTTCTATGCGCAGCAAACGAGTATTATTCTTGTTGGTTATGAACTAATTTCAAAACCGACAAGAATATGTGAATATCACATATATACTTGCACGATATAATACAAACTCACGTAACTGGTTTTAGCGTAAACGACAATTTAGGCCTTGAGTTGTTCTTGCCTAGGATTTTTTTCTGCTCCTCCTTAACACGTTTTTCATGTTCTTTTCTCATTCGTTGTCTTTCTTCTTCCATAAGACGTTGTTCTTCAACCATAGCCAATCTCTCTTCGGCCTGTGATTGTAGAAAAGATAATACAAAACTAGTGCCAACAAATTGTAACGTCGACGTCAACGTCTTTATTTTAAACTCACTAATTTCTTCTGAGCTTCTTCAATTTTCCTGTTGTTTTCTTCCATGATCCTCTCTAGCTCCTCGCGCTTCTTCCGCTCTTCGTCCTACAATGACAACAGCATATGTTTACACAAGGCAATGATATTGTCGCTCACCAGTTGTTGGTACACCCTTTATATCCAAAAGCTTAGTGCCGCTATTTCAACAGCCTAATACATCCTAAGAAACTTCATGTATAGGAAAAGTAATTGGAGATATGTGAAATTTTGAGGCTGGATTTTCAATAAATAGGATGGCTTTGTTGTGATTAAATGACAGAGGACGCATGTATAAAAAACCCACTTCCTTTTCTTTCAGAATTAAACTTGCTCCTCTTAATTCCCAGCGAATGCTGTGTATTGTCAGAGATTTCCCAGATGAAAATACGACGACTTAGGATGCCACTTAAAAGTGAAAAAAAGTGAATTATGAGAGATTGGATAAGTATATTCACTGTACATGCAAATACGAAAACAAAATCGTGATTATCCTGTTAACAACCAAAATTTTTTTCCCTTTTTTACGCGACACGGAGATATTCCCGTTTAATGCATGAGAAAGATTTAAAAATGTACTGAAAGAGTATATATACATATATATATACTTTAACAGAGTAGATATGTTTGTGTGTTTAATAATCAGTGTTGATATATATATATATAAATACATATATACATATATATGCTTTAAAAAATGATATTCAGTATTCTTATTTAAAATTATAATACTCAGATACAATAGAAACAAACGGTGCCATCCGCCTGAACTGTTGACGGAATGCGTTGTGTCCCAGGTATTACTAATTACCAAATCTAAAATGATCCCTAATATGGTTTCTTTTTAATAGTGTTTTAACAAAGAATGATAATATAGTAGTATTGGTATAAAATGAATTATGAATATATAAATTGGATAATACCTGAATGGAGCTCACGCCAGCACGTAGGGGAAGCCGTCTTCATCGACAATCACTCAGCAGTGAGTTAAAAACCAGCATCTTCTGTTGGTAGTCAGTAAGGAAGGTGACCTATATTTTGCTAGGTCGTGCTTTGTTGCTATGAAATGCTAATTCCGCCTTTTCCTACTTTTCCCATTCTAATTAACTTTATTCCCAAAATTGTCGACATTTTCAGTGCAAACTCAATGTGCAAAGCAAACAAGACAAAGTTTGTTCAACTTGTAATCAGGATTGCTGTCCATCTGACCAGAGTGTGGATTGATATTTGTTTTTTAAAGATAAAGAAAAAAAAAAAGAATTGTGCATAAACACGAATGACAACAAATTTTTTAGTCAGATGTAAAAGGAATAAGAAATTAAAAACAAAAAATAATAATAATAACAAAAATAAAAAAAGAGAAAGGAAAGAATAAAAATAAAAATCTACTTGATATAAATGCCTATATATTAGTAGATTTTTTTAGATCACAATTGATAGCAAGATTTTTCATTAATGAATAATGAAAGACATCCAACACAGTTGTATCAGTATTATACAAAAAAAATACTAGAGCTCGGTATTTGAAGTTGTTAGAAAAATTGCACACTAACTACTCTGCATAGATTTTTACTATTATCTATCTAAATATAAAGACTAGTTATTAAACCAATTGTGTTATTTAGCCAAAGTGTTTCTAATTGAAATATGTTGTGTAAGGATCCCAAAAATAATTTAAAAAAAGCAGTTACATTACAAGCTATTACATATGGTCAATACATCGTTTCTTTACTAATTGACAATTTCAAAATTCACAAAAAACGTGTGCAAGTACGAATGAAATATGAGAAGTAATAAATTGCTACAAACACCGAGTTTTAGGCATTGTGATAATAACTGAAGTAGATAATTAATTAATCAAAATAAAGTATAAAAAGTGTACTTCTTTTATATTTACTTCATTATATTTATATGATTTGACTTACTAGTAATAAGAATCTAGCATTTCTTTAAAACTACTATTCCACCGAGAAAATCTGCTTAGGGATCAACATTAGTTTCCCATTCCTTAGAAAAATAACTTTATTTTAAAATAATGATCATTTTTCATTATTTTCTTTTCAATATATTACAAATTGTGTGGGATTTTTACTTTTAATAATTGAAATAGTTTTGTCTCTACTAGTTTTTTTTTTTTTTTACGAATTATGAGGACATATGCGCGTGTAAATTAATTTCGTTAATCGCCTGATCGACAAGTTCAACAGCTTTAAAAATTGCGAAGAAAACTTTTCAAATTTTGCTTAGATCACAATTTTCAGTTGTTGATGCCATTGCCAGTCGAGATATAGTGTGATGAAAGGTTATAATGTTGTACAGATATAATAAATATATACATGGTACAAAATACAATATTCTGTTCATAAATAATTGATACATGCGCCTATGATATCAACATTTTTTCAATAATATAAAGTATTATCTCCCCAACAACGCGACTTCAGTGGATGCTGGGAAGCTAAAGCAGTATGGTTTGTCAGTAATTTTTGTATATACTCAAGAACCATACTGCTTCAAGCCCAAACGCTGTAACCGCGCGATCTAATTATCCAAAAATATATTAATTTTATTTTATAAATGTAATAATTATAGTTGCAGGTACTAAGCAATATCGCAAGTACCAAGCAACCTGCATTGAAAAATTAAATATATATATATATATATATGCAATTTATATTATTAACATTCTGTGCAGTACTTGTCTCTAATGCTGATCTTCAGAGATGTACAAACCATGTACGATTACACAACTATTGCGATGCAATATTTTATCTTACCCACTTCTCAGTCACAGAATTCTATTTCTCCTTAGAATTTAACTAAAGCATTATAGCTCGTTCCAAGTTTAATAGCTATAATGCTATGAACATATATTACAGAACCAGCCTTTTCACTAAAGTATAGGTTCAATGTAATATTGGGATTGACTTGAAAGTAACAAGCTAACTACCCACTGAAAGTAACAGCGCTTGGGCTAACATTGGCCAAAGTTTCTGTGGATTGGTCTTACCTCTCTTCGTTTCTCCTCCTCACGCAGTTTTGCTTGTCTCCATTCCATCTCCTCCATCATTTGACGCTCCATTGCCCTTTTTGCTTCTTCTACCCGTCTTTGTACTTCCGCTTCTATTTCTTCTTTACGTTTCTCAAGTTCTTCCTCAACCCTCTTCTGTACTAATTCCTCTATACGTTTGGCTGCTTCTTCTTCAACCATCTTTTGTTCCACTTCACGTTGTCGTCTGGAGACAGACAGCCAAGTATGTTGATCTACGGATCTTATTTCATTTTTTATGCATAGAATTTTTAGCTGTATTGTGTTCATTTTATTTTTATTTTTAAATTATAGAAAATGTTAAGACTGTCAACTTTAAGACGGATACATTACATTCAAGCTATTTAATAGTAACCTTATTTTTTCAATAACCTTTTGGCATAAATAATGATATTATTAGAATCTATGTTTGGCATGCTTTTTCATTTTTATTTATAAAATATGAGTTAGGGCTGATTAACCACCACCATGAAAAAGTTATACAATCTTACCCAACCGCATTCGTGATGAGGGTTTTGTTCATAAATTCTTTCTTTTTCCTGACAACATAATTATAAAAAAAAACGTATAGCAAGAATTTTTTTTATAAAATAATATACTATTACTCAAATTTAAATCTTTTCATTATATTTTTGTTTAAGAATAAGAATAAAGCAAAATATTTTGAAATAGAAGTTGGCAGAAATAATAAACATAACAATACTAGTATAATAAAGCAAAATGATAATTTAAAAGCAAAATTGATGCAGCTATCCTCAATAATACCTACTGCCAATGACATGCAAAAAATAAATGCAAAAATTTTTTACTCGATTTAGTGATTTGAACCTTTTGCTTTAGGTCAAAATATCATATTCCGTTGCAATAATAATGCTTTGCATATATATGTAGAGACAATCCTTCTTCTCTTAGCCGATAACATAAAAACATTGATTTAATATTATTCAATTGTGTGAATTATTTTATGTAAGAGTCCTCTCCAGAAATTTGTATATACGCATACAATATTAACTTATATACAATGTCAACATAGAATAGATACTGCGATAGAAAAATAATTAAATAATTACCTTTGTCTTTCCATTTCAGCTAGCCTTTCGACTTCATCCATTTTCCTTTCTCGGTCTCTATAGGATCTTTTTTTATGACTGACTATATGTACATCGTCTGATGCATCAGATCCTGTACTAGATGATGGTGAATGGGATCTTTTTCTGCATACGAAGAGTATATATTAATATCCATGATAACACCGATCACAAATAAATTACATACATACATAAAGAAAAAAGAAAGTTAAACAAATTTATTAAATTATATCAAATTTTATAAGTGTAATAAGATACATTAGAAAATAGGCAAAAATCAAGCAAGTATAACCGGCTCGTAATATGTTAATAATATTAACGTATAACGAAGACAATCACATGTTAACCTTAATAAAAAACTAAAGAACATATTAATACGTAAAAAAATAATATGCAATTGGCTAATAATTTTTTAAATTAACACGCAATAGATGTAACATCATCTATCGATGCAAAGCGCATGACAAAATGGTGGAATAGACGACGAAGAAGCGATAATAATATATGTATATATGCGCGTATATAACCATGTATGTATGTAACCATATATATTTAATAAATAAGTATTTTAATAAATATAAAAAACCTCGATTTTGATGAGCGTTCTTTTGGTTTATCTGAATATTTGTTATTAGAATGTTTTTCACGAGATTTGGATCGTTTGCGAGAATGTTTGCTCTTGTGACGCCTTCTGCTCGGCGATTTCGTTCTTGATCTTGAACGACCCATTTTACTTAATTTAACCGTTTTCTTGTTAGACTCAATTGCGAACAGAAATGTTCCCCCGTTGAGGAATATCGTTTTAATATAAAAATTTATTAATTCACTATTAAAAATTTCACAAACGAGGAACCGTCCGCGAGACTACCGCAACACGAGTTACTTATGTAGACGTACTGGAGCCATATTGAAAGTAACAGTTGACCAAAGATGGCGCAACAATCATTCGAATTATTCACTTTGCTATAAAAAAAATAAGATTAGTTGACAACAATAATATAATTTATGAAAACTAATGCATAAAGATAAGAAAGTATTTGATAAGTTTAAGTTATGACAATTATAATTTATCATTTATTAATATATTTTGCTAAGTAATCTTTAATAAACTCCTCGACCAATCAAATGCCGAGAATAATGCCGCATTGATTGATACTATTTATTTATGTATATATTCATGATACGTTAACAAAATATTAAATAAAAGTTACAATTAATCAATTTGTTTATATTTTATAATAAATTAATTATCTTGCGTAAATTTTTATAAAGAAAATAAATACGTTTGTGCGGCCAATCAAAAACTTCATATCACTCAATATATTGACGAATGAGATCATAGGTAATATGACCATATTATATATTTTTCATTCGTTGAATGTATAATCGTATTGCAAAGTGATTAATTCTTAGATTTAATCAGTGTTTATATAAGGTATATCTAAAAGTGTTATTCATGAAAATAAAACAGTTACCTTTCATTAGAATCAATCGAAAGTTTAGAAATAAATAGGGAACTATTGAAATACATTTCGTAGATCTGTTGATTATACGCGCGAAAGATAGATAACAGGAAGGCAACTATAGAAAAGAAATAATTAAAGAGACGGCGTCGCGCGCATCTTATTCGACTTTGTCCGCGACATAAGAAAATCAAGATGGCGCTCCTCTGTTTGCGGATACCTTTGCGGTGGATATAAATACGGTTAGAAAAAAGAGTGTGTTGGGGGGGAAGCTCGATAAGGATAAGAGTAAATCGCGTACGCTTAAAGATTGTCTGTTCGCTGACGTCTAGTGGCTCACGTTTTTGTAAACGTCAATTGAAGGAAAAGTCGAAGAAAGACGGAAGAGGAGAGAAGGCTAGACAGGCGAAAAGAATCGTCATTGAGAATCGTCGTCCTCCCTCTCCTCTCCGTCACTGTCGTTGTATCATCGTTGATGTTATCGTCATCTTCGTCGTCGTCGTTTTCATTGTTGTTGTTGTTGTTATCGTTGTTGTTGTTCGCATTCGTTGTCGTCGTCGTTGCGTAGTAGTCACCATCAGCGCTAGTGCTGCCGACAGTATCGTCGCGGCATTTTAGGGAAGAGAGATCGAAGGTGTGCGTTCCTGCGGCCACCTGAGGAATGCTGGATCGGCGTTCACGAATTCGTCGTCTGCGAGTTGCGATCTATTCGTTGGAAAAGGTTTAAATAATTTCAAGTAACGAGCAGAATAAGAAAGAAAGAAAGAAAGAAAAGTAAGCCTGTTTTAAATTCGGTTGACCTGTCCCAAAGCGTAGACGTTTTGATAGGAGAAAGAAACAACAAGCAAGTAAGCAAGCAAACAGAGGAAATTCGAGTAAGACAAAACGGAGATAGAGACGAAGACGGAAAGGGTGAGAAAGGAGGAGATAGAAGAGGAGAGGGTTCGGGGGAGGAAGAGGTGGTGGAGGAGGAGGAGGAGGGGACTCTTCTAAGCGCGGAAGGTGCTCGTTCGCGGATCTTCCGTGACGTATGTGTGTCGCGGAGGGTTGGCAGAGAGGTCCGTCGCCGCGAGTCGTGTCGCCGCGAGTGCCGTCGTCGTTGCGGCGTGAGTGCCGTTCCCGGTTTCGTCGATGCGCCGCTGTCGCCTACTGTTCTTGCATTTCAACGAAACGGACGACGAGCAGCTCGGCTTCCCTCGCGGCAACAACACCAGGAGAAATTAGTCCGTCGACTCTGGCGGAGGTTCGAGTTAGCCGGCAGCGGTGGGGCAAGGAGGCGCCGGAAGCAGCCGCGAGTCCGGAAGCATAGCGAAGAAGATGGCCTTCAACGAGGTGAGTACAAAGACTATCTCTCTTCCTCCTCCTTCTCTCCTTTTACAATCACGCGCCCTGACCTCGCGACCCCCAAATCTTCCCTCTCTTTCTCCTTCTTTTACTACCTAACTTAACCTCTCCGTTCCTGCGCACAGCTGGCACGCTTGCCGTTCTCCGCTTCCCTCCCACTTGCCTAGCCACCCACCTCGCTGCACCTCCTCCGTCTTCCCTACTTGCGAAAACACGAACTTTCGCGAGACTACCCGAGAGATCCTATATACTTACAGCAGTGCATTCTCACAGATGAACGCGCATATTCGAACGTAAGACGCGAAACGACACGCGACCTTGACAAGAGAGAAAAAGAGTTATCGTCTTTTTCCTTCCTTCCTTCATTCCTTTCTTCCTTCCTCGAATCCTCAGCCCCTTATTCTTCGTTATAATAATCAACCGACTCTATCCCGATGATCTTCGTTTATTGATTCTATAAAAACGTTCTAATAATAATAATTACCTTGTTTCGCATACTCCTTCTTTTACATCATGGTAATTCTCTCGTCGTCTCGTACTTCTTACATTCGAACATCAGTCATTATATTATATCGTAAATTACACTTTGGTCAAATAATCGTCTTGGCTGTTCGAAAAAAGGAGGACGCGATTACGAAAGTCGACCAAGTCTCGTTTAGTAAACTTATGCGAGATAGTCGTACCATGTGTGTAAGCCAATACTTGAGCTTGTTTTGACAGCTTCACATATATGATATTAACGTGAATGCCATGTTAAAGAATCAAAAAAGAAGAAAAAAAGTTTTTAGTAATCTTCTGGACGATAGGTTTTTTTTTTTTTTTTTAATACTTTTTATATAACTCAAATGTATCTTCGAGGTCGCTCATTTATTACCTCTCGTATGTGATTGTCTAGATTTTTCGTTCTTTATTTGATATATATTTCTGAGTCACATGGGAGATCCGCGAACACGTTGATTATGTTCGTTCGTTCGTTCGTTCGTTCGTTTATTCGTTCGTTCGTTCGTTCATTCGTCTGTTCTTTTTCGTCTTTTGTGTGAGAAAATACACGTATTGAGTAAAAAACACGCGTAACCTCGCGTCGTAGTTCGGTCGAAAAGAATTTCATCGGAAGGATTTATTGGCAACGTTGAACGCGGGGCTTATCGCCTACGGTGACGCATGACCGTGCTCTGCACGTTTGCAATCACGTCGCAACACACTGCGCCATGCAGTTTTATCGTACTCCTTCTATTTATTACCACAATGTTCCTCGGAGATGAAAAAAGAGAGCTGATGAGTAATTAATACAAGGATATCCTATTTCTTTGATAGGCCAATGCGAAACTTCGGTTCTCCTATTTTCTATTTTTTTCTCTTGTTACTTATATCTTTATTTCTTTTTTTGTTTATCCTATTCCTCGACGTTTCCTTCAACGTTGGCAAATTTTTTGCTACGACCAAAACGTATTCCCATTATCTTTTCATTGGCCGATAAGTATATATACGTAGAAACTTTGCAACGGTAAGCAGATAATGACAAACGTCGAATTTGCAAATATTCCAGACATGAGTCATAATTTAAAAAAGAGAAGCAAAAGAAAGAAACAACAAGAAAAAGAATACTTTCTTATCGAATAAATGTAAATCGTAGTGTTGAAAAAGCTTATTATACGTTGATTCGAAAATAACTTTTATAACAAAAATACGCATATTATTTTAATTGTTCGATATTACAGGACGAAATATAACGATTGATGAAAAAACTACGTTTTACGAATGTTGAAAATTTACCATATATAACACGCGATCTGTACCTCGTTTTCGTATCTATTTAATCTTTTCTGCAATAGAAGATATCTTATCTGTGAGACGAGTTAGCATCTCTCGAGAATCGATGGAGACACGATTTTTGAGATATAACAACGTCGATTTACGACTTCGATATTTCGATATAAAAGGACGAAATGAAATTACAAATTTGATAAAGAAAAATAAAAGAGGGGAAAGGGAAAGGAAAGGACGAATGAAAGAAGAAAAGAAGAAAAAAAAAACAAAGTAACAGAGCTCAGCATAGAAGGCCACCTGCTACCCGCTGTGATATCGATCGAGGTGGGATATGTACGAGTGTTGAGGGTGGGATTCCGTCTCCTCCCCCTTTCGACAGCTTCGTACTCATCGACGATCATATGGCTTCGTACTGGCATACCATGCCATTTGAGTATTTGCCGTTTCCACGACAACGCATTCATCTCTTTCGAAATATTAGCACACTTAGTTTCGATTATACACCTTCAAGAATTTTCACCGGATTTTAAGATCGGTTTACTTTTCCAAGCGTTCTAAATACAATATTACACATATTGAAATTGAAACAAGAACTATGTAATACGATCGGCTATATTCTTCTTCTTGTTTTCTTTCTTTTTTTTTGTTTTCGAATAATTAATCGTACGATAACGACGTAACGGCTTGATAATTCTTATAATTAAATAAGAGATATCACAAACTATAGTAAACGTCGTATACGTAAAACACTTATCAAAGCATGTATACTCACTAGTTATAGATTTTAACCGTTATTATATACGTAAGCACAAACAATAATTTTAAATTATTCCAGATGCCACGTGAGAGAATTAATGCGATTGGTTGTTTTTTTATATTCTTTGATAAACAAACAAATTAATCAATCGTTCTATACGACGTAATTTGAAATTCTCATTCTTTATTTCACTCTGGATAGTGTTGGTCAATGATAAGGTTGTTTCTGTCGTTCAACAATTCTCCTTTTCTCTCTTCCCTTCCCTTTCCTTCTCTTTTCTTTTTCTTAACGCGTGGTAACACACACTAGGACACGATAACGTCGTTGTTACTCTTATCGTAACTCAGGAAGCCTAACTCGTTGGCTAACTCGAGCAAAACCGATGTGTACCCTATGTGCGTTCTCTTATCACCCATGTGCCTTCCGTAAACCTTATCAACTGGAATGTTCAAATCATGTGATCGTTGTTTAGTGGTACTCGTTTATATTTCACATACTTTTTCAAATATTTACGTAGGTATTGTAAATAACGTTAATAAGTATGTATGTACGTCCTAGATCGTGATTACGTGGGGGGTTGTGTTGTATCGAAACAATGAAGTGCAAGACGTGC